TGCAACCCATGCCTCCGGACGAGGTCCCCAATGTCCAAGCTGATGCCGCCGATGTCGCGGGCACGAAGTTCGGGGCCTGGAAGGGGGATGGCGTTTACGAAGGGTGAGGTTAGGTTTTAGGGTTTAGGGTTTAGGGGATTAGGGTTTAGCGTTCAGGGGTTTGTATACTTGGTGAGCCTACCCCGATTTTTGCCTCAACCTTTATGCCCAAACCCTCCCGCTTTAAACCCTCAACCCTAACCCGGAAACCCTAAATCCCTGAACCTCTCATTCCCTCAAAAGGTGTGCGAGTTTTGGGCTCGTTTGGTTTGCTTGGGCTGAGGGTAGTTTCGGTTTCGTTGGTTTAGGAGTTTTGGGTTTAAGGGTCTTTGAGTTTCGGGTTTTGGGGTTCCAGCACAGCCAACACCGCTTCCATCCACGCAGGTATGGTGCAGGCAAGATGATGCGCTTGTAGCCCCAACTAAACCCTTAACCCTGAAACCATAGATCGTAAACCCTAAGCCCTATACCGTCGATCAGTACCGCACAGTGCAGAAATTCTAGGTGCTGCTACTTGGAGGGTCAGGGGCTTTCGCAAGTAGCTAATAAGTACAAGTATCAGCACTCGATACTTCATTGGGGTTATGATACTAAACTGGGGTTACGATGCTTATAAATCTATAAATTAAGGACCTACTATTTGCTTAAGAACCCCCCAAAAATAAAAAATATATTCCTTATGGGGGTAATATAGGGATTATTATTTTTATTTTTTTGGTGTTTCTTAAGCAAATAGTAGGTACTTACTCCCCCGACCCTCCAAGTAGGAGACGCCTGGGCTGTGTTCTTTTCTGTTTCCGAGGCCCTCGCCGCGGGACTCCGAGATCTATGATCAGGTGTCGTCGCTGGTGGAGGCCGGCTCCCAGACATTTCCCCTAAACTTCAATCCCGATTCAGTTTCCCTGCACTGACGAAGGATGCCTCGCATGGTGCAGGAAGCCCCCGGAACAAGGGGATATCAATTTGAGTTCCTGGGAAACCCTGATCCCTCAAGCACTCATATCAGTCTGTGGATCTTCATTTCTTGAACTCGTAGAGCTCAGCATTTGCAAAGATTTCGAACAACTTGTGGACAGCTACTTCGAAGATCATGGGACTTAGTAAGTAGGTCATAGTTGGTTCTATAAGTCCCCTAAGTGGGGTTATCCTACTTAAATAACCTTACTTACTAAGTCCCGTGAGCCTTTAAGTAGACCCTAAACCCCACACCCTAAAAGGGAACCCTACTATAGAACCCCCTGGCACCCTTAAAAGGACAGGAACCCTAAACCTTACATACTGCAGGGAGACCGATGATCTCCCAGACCCCCAGGAGCATCATGGGACTTCGTAGGGTTCCTTCAAGGGCTCCTTTAAGGGATCCTTTAGGGGTTAGGGTTTAGGGTTTAGGGATCTATAAGGGCAAGTAGATCCCCTAATTTGGGGCCCTATACTACTAAGGGTACTTTCTAGGAACCCCCATTAAGGGATCTACTTTTTGGATCCTCCAAAGGGGATGGAGGAATGGCTCCCTATAGTAGTCCCCATAACACATTCCCCCATTCCCTACTAAGCACCCGACAGTCTTTCGGGGAAGCGAAGGAAGGCGGACAGCCTAAAGACGCTGAACAACGCCCTAAAACCCAAACAAAACCCTCAAATCCTCACAGAACCCTAAAGCCAAAACCCTAAACCCAAAACCCTAAACCCTAGACCCAAAACCCTAAACTCTAAACCCCAACCAGAACCTTTTCAGAGGAACTCCCAAAGGCCCAAAGGAACCCTTTAAGCCCTATAACCCTGAACCCTAAAACCCTTCAGGACGCGTTTTGAAGGAACCCTTTTAAACGACCCTCCTAAAGTAGCCCCTCAAAGCCCTAAGACAAGCCTTAAACCTTGAGCCCCAAACCTTGAACCCTAAACCCCAAGCCCTAAACCTTATACCCTAAACCCTAAGCCTTGAACCTTATGCCCTAAACCCTAAAGCCCTGAACCTTATACCTTAAACCCTAAAGCCCTAAACCCTAAAGCCCTAAAGCCCTAAACCCTGAAGCCCTAAAGCCTTAAACCCTAAACCCCAAAAACGCCCTTAGCCTCAAAGAAAGACGCCGCCGGAGGAGCTCGAGGCGGCCCGGGCCCGCGCGATGGCGGCCGGGGGGTCCCTCCCCCGGGCCGTCGAGGCCGCCGGCTCTGCGCTGGAGCGCCGGCCTTTTTTTTTTTTGTCTTTTAAAGGGGGGACTGGTACCCTAAACCCTAAATCCTAAACCCTGAACCCTAAACCCTGAACCCTAAACCCTGGACCCTAAACCCTAAAGCCCCAAACCTAAAAGCCCCAAGCCAAGACATTTGAGGGTTTAGGGTTTAGGGCTTTAAATATGGAGGGGCCTCAGGTTCCTTTTAAAGGGGTCTATACAAAGGTTACTAGAAGGGATTTATAAGGGTACTAAACTATCCGGGGCCTAGGGTGATTACCCATATTGTGTTGGGGATTCTTTTTTATAATTGTAATATAATGGGCCCCAAAACTCTATTCTAATTATTCAGGCCCCTATACTATACTTAGCAAGATTTTTCTATAGTGTTTGGAGGGAAGAAGGGTTGTAGGGTTTAGGGCTTGGGGGTTTTGGTTTTAGGGGGGAATTTTAGCGTTTAGTTTTTTTTTGGGGCTTAAGGGGCGATGGCCGGAGATGTGGTGAATCCCTGCCAGGCCTAGGGCTCGGGTTCTTGAAAGCTTCAGCTTTTCGTTTTTGGGTTTGGGGCCCTAAAGCCCTAAACGCTAAAGCCCTAAGCCCTAAAGCCCTAAACCCTAAACCCTAAGCCCTACAGCCCTAAAGCCCTAAACCCTAAAGCCTCAAACCCTACAGCCCCAAACCCTAAAGCCCTAAAGCCCTAAACCCTGAAGCCATAAACCCTAGGCTTCTTGCTCAGCTTGTTACCAGACCTGGTGTTCAGGGGGGCGAGGTTTCAGGGTTCCAAGGGACCCAGGGTTTAGGGGCGCTTGCCGGCTTCGGCTTCTCTTCGGGGTCCGTGGGGACTTTGGTTGCTCTGAGGGCTTTTGGGGTTTATATAGGCTTTAGGCGCTTTTTCGGGGGTCTGAAGCTTCGGGGCCCTTTCGGTTTTGTATGGGCTCGGCAGGTTGGGGACTTTGCGAAAGCTCCCAAACCCAAAGCCCTCAACCTCAAAAACTGTAAACCCTCATTTTAGGGTTTAGGGTTTCGGGTTGATCAAGCTCTGAACCTTGAATCCTGAACCCTTATCCCAACCACTGCATATAGGCTCGATGTAGTTAGAATGCAGTATGCCGACAATCCCCCATGGATTATCTAGGTTTACATGCTATTTTTGCGGGGTTTCAGAATCAAAACTTCTAAAATCGTGTAGAACCCTGGCGAAACCTCATTGAGAGTTGTTAGAGGAAGGACCTAAAGGACCTAAAGCCTAAGCCTTGAACTGCAGCCGACACTAGCATTCAAACCTTAGAAAACCCTATTCTGATTTGCTAGAGGCCCTTATTCAACCCCAAACCCACAACCTGAAACACGAAGCTCTAAACCCTAAGCCCTCGACCCTAAGCCCTAAACCCTAAAACCTTAAACCCCTAAACCCCTAAACCCCTAAACCCCTAAACCCCTAAACTCCAAACCCCTAAACCCCAAACCCCTAACCCCTAAACCCTAAGCCCCCAAACCCCAAACCCCTAACCCCTAAACCCTAAACCCTAAACCCCTAAACCCCTAAACCCTAAACCCCTTTAAAGGAACCCCAAAAGGAACCCTTAAACTTCGACAGGAGCCCCTCTTGCGCTTGCGAGACGTCACGGGGGCCTCCTGCGACCTAACGTCGGCTCCCGAAAGGGCTGTCTTCAAACGCGTTTTGGAGGGTTCCTTTAAGGGTTCCTTTAAATTTAAAGGGTTCCTTTAGCAGGGGTTAGGGTTTAGGCTTTGAAGTTTAGGGTTCAGGGTTTAGGGTTTGGGGGTATTGATAGGGTTTCGGGGTATTGCTGGGTTTCGTTCGGGTGTTTGTTTTGGATTTCGGGCTTTGGCGGTTTAAGGTTTCAGCATTCAGGGTTTCAGGATTACGAGTTTTAAGTGAAAGTGCTAACCCCTAAGCCGCTTCCGGTTCAGGTGCTGGACGGATCTAAAGTTAGGTATACATGTGGGCAGTTGTCAAAATTATGATCCTTTTTTGGGTACCCTAACTTTTACGTGCCGTATTTCAATAAGGACCCAGAAAGGAACTATAATTTTGACAACCACCCATGTATATCAGGGGTTCAGATTTGAAGTGTATGTACGTCTCCCGGAAGGCAGGTGAGTCGATGTTTTGATTGTAATTAACCTAGTAGTCGAGTAGGTAGCCTTAAACCTTTTCTGGGTCGTAATGTCCCTATATAATCCGCATATAAGCAAAATGGTTAACCTTTAGTTCCCCATGATACCCGACAAGTAGGTTAAGAGGATGCTGGTCATAAAACCTTCTCATTCTACATGAAGCTGCCGCATCTAAACCAGGGGGCATTCGCACTGCAGGGAGTCGGGGTTTCAGGTCCGGGCTCAGTACTGGATTCAGGGTTTTCTGGGTGTAGTGTAGGGAGTACAGGTGGATTCTACTACCATGTAACTGTTCAGGCCACGTATTGGACCCGAAAGAACTACCAAACCTGCTTAAGGTGCTTATGATGGTGCTGTCGAAGATGATGACGACGTTGCTGGGTGGTGGTGGTGGTGGTGGTGGTGGTGCTGATCATGATACCAATGCTTCAGAGTCGAGCACGATGGTCGTCATTGCTCTAGGTCCAGGTTGCTATCAGCATCCCGTATACTCAAATTTGTCTCCTGTTCGCCATCCGTGTTTTCTGCCCAAAATTATTATGCTGTTGCAGTCTCTAGTTCAGGGTTTGGGTATTCAGTTCAACCGCACAAGGCATCGTGGCCCAATCCCAAGTCTGGGATCAGCCGCGCAAGAGAGCCGATAGAGACGCCATGAAAGTACTGCGGCTGCTGCCGGTGACGTTGTCCACGGCTCTTGCGTGCTTGGGTGGAGAGCACTATCATCTCGAGGATTGCCACGCGAGGCGAACTGATGTCCGAGTTGAGAGCATCCTTTTTATGCTCCTCGGTAGCAGAGTAAACAACATCTGTAGTGTGGTATAAGCCGTATAGAATTGCAAAGCCTAATCCCAAACCCTAAACCGTGTTCCCCTAAAAGCTAAACTCTAATTTCCAAACCCAATGCCAAATCCCGAAGCCCCTAAGCACAGCCCCTAAATCCTAAACCCCAAACCCTAAGCCGAAAACCCTTTCGTACCCTTGTAGCATCCTTTAGCAAAAGAATCCATATAGCACCCATATGGTATGCTTTACAGGAGCACTTAGGGCACCCTAACAGTATCCTTTCACGGAGCCCGTATAGTGCTCTTGTAGTATCCTTTACAGGCACCATGTAGTACCATAATAGATCCCTTACCAAGGAACCTTCAAAACAATCGAGATATTAAGTATCTTGGAAGGAACACTCATGGTAGACTTATGGTATCCTGTGAAGGAGCACAATCATACTACCCTATTAGATCCCTGCACAGCAACCCTCAAACGAACCCTTATAGTATCCTTTACCTTTAAAGCAACACTCATAATATCCTCTTAGATCTCTTTCAAGGATCCCAAAGACCCTAAACCCTAGACCCTGAAACCCTAATCCCTAAACCCTAAACCTTTTATGGAAAACTACCCATGAACCTCCAAGTAATTCAAAAGCACTCTAAAACCCTAGACCCTAAACCCTAAACCTTTTATGATTAGGGCCCCCAACAAGGCTCCTTGTCGCCGTCCTCTCGAGTCTAGTGGTCGTTGTCCTCTCCCGGGCTTGTGGTTTGTGGGAGATGCGCCGCTGCCCCACCCTGGCTGTGGCTGTGCATCCTTTTGAGGGGGTTTCTAGGGTTTTAGGGTTTAGGGTTTTTAGGGTTTTAGAGTTTTAGGCAGGTTTAGGGCTGTAGGGTGTTTGGGGTTTCGGGTGTTAGTTTAGGGTTTAGGGCTTGCGGTGTCGGTTTTACGGATGTTTAGGGCTTAGGTGGCGGCGCTCCCCTTTATGTTCACGGTGGCCATCTGCATCGTGCTTCCCTTTCCTCTTATTCACTCTATTACTTTGGATGTGCACCATCGCGACGATGCCAGAGATTGCTATCTGCTGGCGAATTCGGAGCTGGCCTTCTCTGTGGGGGGGATGTACATATATGCGATTACCATGGCGTTGTCTTGGGCTTGTATGTCGGTTGCCCTGGCTTGGCGGCATCAGGTGGGTGGTTGTCAAAATTATGGTCCCTTTTTGGATCCTTATTATAATAGATTTAGGGTACCCAAAAAGGAACCCTAGTTTTGACAACCACCCAGGTTCCTGCGCCAGAAAGAGCGGAACTGGGCAATCGTGCAGTGAGATATCTTGCGGTCACCACCATCTTAAACACCATCGGAAGCGCTGCTTCGGTTTGGCCATCCTTTTGCTATGTCTATCTGGACCCTAAGGAACCTACCCTTTTTAGAGTTCCCTAATATGATTTCTTTATATACGTCCTTAAAAAGGTAGTTTACTTGGGCTTAAGGTATGTGTTGGTGCTTCAGCAAGCCAACTCCCTCAAATTAAGCGTGATCAATGAGCTTGTTGAACGCTTAAGCTTACAACTAGCCCTCAGATCCTGGAGCCATAACCTCTAAACCCTGCACCCCTAAGTCCTAAAACGCTAAACCCTTAAACTCTGAACCCTCATGCTATGATGCTACGATCCCAAATAGAGTTGAGGTTCAAGTTAAGGGTTCAGGGTTGTCGAACGCTAGCAGTTTTTCGTAGTTTTAGGTGAGGTAGATTGAAGTAGTTTTCGTCATAGACGGTTCAAGCTTTGGCAAGCACTCCTACAGACTGAGATTTCAGCCGGGTTGGTAACCTTGTGATAAGGAAAGCACGTAGCTTTGCCTTCCGGAGCCTAGGAACCGGCTTCTTCGTGCGGGTCACATGTGGCACACCCGTCCTTGCAGACCTCTTGGCGATCAGCCCGGTAGGCCGTGGAAAAGAGGGCTTACGGTTGAGGGGTGCATACCCTAAACCCGAAGCCTTAAACCCCTAAACCCTAAACCCTAATCCCTAAACCTTAATCCCTAAACCCCAAAGCCTTAAACCCTAAACCCTAATCCCTACACCCTAAACCCTAATCCCTAAGCCCTATCCCCTAATCCCTCAATGTAGGTTAAAAAAAAACCCCGAAGCCTTAACCCCCAAAGCCTTAAACCCTAAACCCTGAAGCCCAAACCTCCCCAACTCCTAATCCTCGCATCCGTAAGGCCACCCAAAACCCAAACCACCCTCGAAGCTAACGATGTGTTAGGGTTTGGGGTTAGGGTTTAGGGGTTAAGGCTTTGGGGTTTAGGGTTTAGGGTTTAGGGATGTATTGGCATCGCTTTGCACTCCCTATCTACTTCTACTACGATATATCCCCAAAATCTTCGCTCGAGTTATCAAGGCCTCTCTGTTACAGCCCTACGCCTTTACACCTACTGAACACCCCCTGGAGTCCTCAACCCATTCACGAACGTCCTCATGAAGCGCATCGTGCTGCGAATGTCGGAGGCTTAGTGCTCTTGGTTTAGGGTCTCTGCAAAACACCAGCCATATGACTTCGGGCGCATGATTTGTGCCCGGAAAGCAAGGTCGGAGATCTATGCCGGCAGAGAGCAGACAAAGTTTATGCGGTTGACGACATACGCGGAGTTGTTGTCAGGCTGCTTGACACTTGGCTGTCCCTAAACCCTAAAACCGAAACCCTGGGTTGGCTCCTCTTCGCATTCTAACTTTCGGTGCTCGGAAGCCAACTTGGCAATGTCACCAAGGATTGCCATTATCGCCGCTGTTTTCGTCGGGCTGTTAGAAACCAAGTGGCACTTTGGTAAGCTTTGAATTTCCCGTTCTTGTAGAGGTACGTACCTATGCATAAATAGTCTTCAGTGCCCCATAACTACATCCCAGGATACATATGGCACCAGCAGCAACTTCCCGCCCGGCACTGCTCACGCGGTGGGAATCGCGGCCATCTTGGCACTGACGGCCCCTCGTCTCGGTGCTTTTTTTTTTTTTTTTTAAATTCCTGTTTAGGGTTTAGGGTTTAGGTCCGATGAAGACATCTACGACAACATCTTTCTCCTCGGATCGAGCCCTAAGGTCCTGCTGGTGCTTGATGGAATCTTTTCATGGTCGGTCTTTACATCTCTTCGCGCAATCCTGCGAAGCGTGCAGATGGTCATGCCGACAGAATCCTGCCGGAATGAGCGAACAACCGAGTATATAGTATGTAGGGCTATATAAAAGGCACCTACGACCCCAGTTGTAACCCATGTGCTAAGTCTCTTGATGCTCAGACTTGCGAAGCTTGCATAACCCCCTCGGGTTCTTGCCTGATGTATAAGTCTCCTCCGTCCAAGAAGGAGATGGCATGACCCTGGGCCCAAATTCTTGCACCATATGTGCCCGCCTTCATGCAAGCTTGGTACAACCAACAATGCTACATCCGAAAGCCCCTATATTAATAATCGCAACACAACCCCCTGAACTGAACTTGAAGTTTTCTTACCCACCAAGATCCGTAACCCCTCACACCCTGAGTACTACGTCCCTAAACTCGAAGAAAACGAAACCGAGGAATCCAACAAAAGCATTGTGAGCAACTCCTTGGCCGTGGCGAAAGCAAACCTTTGGCTGGTGGGGCCCTTAGAGCGGAGGGTGAGGGTGGAGGGCTTGCTTTGCTTACTTGTGGATTTAGGGTATTTCGGAGCTTAGGGTTTAGGGTTCAAGAGTTTTCCATCCAAGTCGAGGAAATGGTTGCTGTTAGTTTCGAAAACGCAGGTTGCACTCGCAGTCCTTGGCACTAGCATCTTCTATGCCATGCTCATTGTTCTTGTGGGTGCCGTCACCATCTTCTACCAGCATGAATCCGAGCACCAGGAAAGCTATACAGGCTACTCCGGCTATACTGAGCCTGCCGACCCCTCACTGGTGCAAGGGATGGTGCCCCTGATGATTTGGGGCTTGGACAGCATCTTCAACGACCTCTGCGCCGTCTATCTTGGCTGCGGTCCCACCCAGGCAGCCTCGGGTTAGGGAACGGATGACATCCAAAACATCCAAAAGACCCGAAAAGAAACCACAACTCTATAGTAGGACCCTTGAACTTAGTTAGGGGAACCGTAAAAGTGTCGAACCCAAAACCCCGAAATCCTACGACCCTAAACCCCTCTACCCTTAACCACTAAACCTGTAAACCCTAAACTCCAAAGGCCCTAAACCCCTACGGTGGATGTTATAAATCCTGCATTACTTTAAGCATCCTAAACTATGGGAATTATGGTACACTCCTTATCATGGGTAATGCAATATATATATATATATATATATATATATATATATATATATATCATCAACCGTATTTTAGTTATGGCCTTACCTATGAATTAGGATATATATCATCAACCGTAACCCTAAAGCCTCAGACCCAAGCTCGGAAGCGTCGCCATGCAGGCGGCTTTGCAGATGGTGACGAAAGCCAGCGAGGTGGAGAACCCAGAGACTCCTTTAAGGGATCCTTTAAGGGATCTATAGGGTTTAGGGTGTTAGGGGAGTCTAAGATCCCTTAATTAAGGAATATACCTTAAGTTATAGTAGGATCCCTACGATGATTTAAGGAATATTCCTTAATTAAGGGATATTGGAGTCTCTTGGAATTGAGGTGCCTGCGGCGTGGGGGGGCCCAAAGCCCCCAAAGTCCTTGTGACTTATGAATACCGGGGCCTTACTCGACAGCACAGGGTCTTATCAGGTTTGATAGGGTATAGTGCCGTATTAGACAGCGGGTTTCATATCTTCTCATACGTTTTTTTGGTAAAGGGGCCTCAACAGACAGCAGGGATTTTTTGTGGTTTAGAACAGGGTGTCGTATGTTTTTGGTATTGGCGCAACAGTTGTAATAGGTTTTTGGGGCATGTCACGGTGTAGTTGTGTAGGGACCCACGGACCCCAAGGTATTTCCACTAGGACGACGACGAATACTACCACTGCTACGACTACTACCACTACCACCACTTCTACCTCTACTACCACCACAACCACCACCACCACTACGACTGCGACGACTACTACTACTGCTGCTGCTACTACTACTACTACTACTGCCACCATGCCACCATTACCACTACCCACTACCACTGCCACTACCACTACCACTGCCACTACCACTACCACTGCTACTACCACTACCGCTACAACCACCTCCGCTACCGCTGCCGCTACGACGACGTCAAGTGCTGCTGCTACTATGACGACTATTACTACGACTACTACTACAAATTCAGACCTCTCCACACCCTGGCCCCTAAACCTTAAACCTTAAAGCACCGTAGAAGCCAACAAGGCGGATGCTGTGGGCGTGCCTGTGGCAGAGACCCCGGGTGTCCAGGTGCTGGGGCGAGTCTCCGAAGGCCAAGGCCAGATGTCGTTAAGGGCGATCGTACTGTAGGGTTTTATCAAAGGCTTCATAGGGTTTTGTAGGGCTTTACAAAGGGCTTGAAGGGTTTGTATGGCTTTATAAGTGATTTTGGGTTTTTCTGGTTTTTAAAGGGCTTTAGGTAGCGTGAAATACAAGGGTTTCATGTATTTCTCTAGGCGTTTTCGGCGGGTTCTTGAAGGATTTCCGAAAGGTTTCAGGTCTCAGGGCTCATGGGACTTAGTAAGTGAGGTGATAAGTTAGTTATAAGTTATAAGTTAAAAATCAGGATATCAACCTGATTATAGAACCCCATAGGACCCTGAAAAGGAACCCTAAACTCTACCGACTAAGTCCCGTGAGCCTTCAAGTAAGGGTTAAACCTTTAACCCCAAAACCCCAAAGCCCAAACCCGAAGCCCCGAGTCCCGGCACCTTCAAGATTCAAGCCAAAACCATAAGGACTTGTCCATAAACAGTTGGGTTTAGGGTTGAGGGTTTAGGGTTTAGGGTTGAGTTGGGTTTAGGGTTTAGGGTTAAGTTGGGTTTAGGGTGAAAGATTTAGGGTATGGGGTTGAGTTCGGTTTAGGGTTTTTAGGGTGTAGGGTAAGTCCTGACCTCCTAATGTAGGGCCTGACTAAACAGAATAGGGTGTTGGAGTGGATTTTACTAAAATTACAGTCAGAAACCCCCAAAACTTTATTCCAATTATTAAGGTCTGTATTCTAATTATTAAGGTCCCTACATTAAGGACCCTGCTCAGGTGTCAAAGAAGTGCAGAGCAAGGAGGCGGAGGGCAAAGTCGCGCAGCATGCCTGGGCTGACGGAAGCAAGTAGGGCTTTCTTGGGGTTTCGGGTTTACGGTCTAGTGGAAGGGTTTGATGTCCAGTATCTTTTGTTAGGGTTTAGGATTGGGATTTTAGTTTGCAGGGTTTGGATGGTTTAGGAGTTTAGCATTCAGGGTTCTGTTTTCCTGGGTTGGGAAATTGTACTGTGAAGTTTCCGACTTTGTGGTGGCAGCATTAGCATGATAATCATGATCTACGGGGTTTACGGTACGGTCTTAGGGTTGCAGGTTTAAGGTTCAAAATATTTGGATTCTGGTGGGAAGCGGGGGCGGATAGCATGGTGGTGGAAGGTTTAAGGTTATTGTTGTCAGGTTTTAAAAGGGTGTAAGGTTTAGGAAAGTGTTCCGAAACTATTCGTGCAAGCGTTTCAGCACATCCTCGCGGTTGCGCAGCTTACCAGCTGCAGCTTGCGGTGTTTAGCTTCAGTTTTGGTGGTCTTTGGGGTTTAGCATTTAGTGTCCCGATTGTTTTGGTCGAGGTTGCAGGGTGCTTTGTTTGGTTTCGGAACACGAAGCTGTAAATCCTGAACACCTAACAAAGAAAGAGCCCAATACCCCTTACTCAAGGAATAGACCTTAAATCATAATAATAAGAATCCCCTTGTACTTTAAGGTATATTCCTTAATTAAGGGGTATTGGGCTCTCTGGGAACCCCTCAACCGCATCTCTGCGCCCTGAACCTTCGTTTGGGGTTTTGGGTTTTATAAGGACGACATGTACCTGCGTACCTGCAAAAGCTACAGGATCAGCTACCATACAAGGATTCGTAGTGCCAGGGTATGCTGTCCCGACTGCTCAGGGTCATTGGGTCCTAAGGAACCGTAGTATAGGGACCTTCGTGATCAGAACAAATGTTTGGGGTAAACTATACTTAGGGGTACTTAGAGATAATTTTCAATTTTTGGTTATTATAGTCCCTAAGAAACAGCTAAAATTGTAATTTTTGCTAGGGTTCTAAGTTCAGTATAGTATAGAGTACGTATCTTAAAAAACTTCAAGGAGCAGCATTCGGAGTTTTTCGGGATTCTATGTATAGCGCGGCGCATGCTGCGACACGACATCACGGTCCTGTCTTCTCCGGCTTTAGGAGAGGCAGGCGGAGCACTACGCTGCCATGCCACGATGCTCCGTTTTTCAGAGAGCTTTTCCAGAGAGCTGAATGTTCCCTTAGTTAGGGAGTTGAGTGGTCTTTGTATCAAACCTTATTGCCGAGCTATGTAATATCTCCTTACGATGGTTTTCAACATCAACCCTGCTTAGTAAAGATTTCAGACTACTCGTGGAAGTTATGCAGGGCTCCTTCTGAACTATTTTTATTTTTCTTCGTACAAAACCCAAGAGAATATTTAACACTATTGCTTTTGTTATGGTTCTAAGGGGGGTATTGCTGTTGGTTTAAGGTGTAGTCCTTGAATTAAAGCGGCCTCAGTCTTCGGATCCGAAGAACATGGCTTTGTGACTCCTTACTTAAGGGATCATGGGACTTAGTAAGTAGGTTATAGTTGGGGTGATAAGTCCCATACGTGGGGTTATCCTCATTATCACCTACTTATGGCCTTACTTACTAAGTCCCATGAGCCTTTAAGTACTATGGTTTAGGGAATCGCCCTTCGTTGCAACACGGCCTTGTCAGGATTTAATGAAAACTCTTAAGTTTATATACAAGACTCTTTCTTTGTCTTTCTTATGGTTCATGGGTCCTTAACTAGGGGAGATTGGTCTCTCTTGGTTTCATGCACGCTGTGCAGCCCTGCGCCAGCTGCGTCTTGGTCATAGGCTGAGGTCGTGGCACATGCAGGGACCGCTGGTCGAAATGAGGCGCAAAGCCCATAAACCTAGTAGTAGAGTAGGTAACCTTTAACCTTTTTTGGGTAGTATTGTCCCTATATAATCCCTACATGCCCAAAAAGGGTTAACCTTAAGTTCCCCATGATACCCGACAAGTAGGTAAAAGACAAAGAAACCCAGGGCTCAGGGTACTTAGTATTTAGGATATGCAGTGTTACATGTGCCCCAAGTGGGGTTGCCCTGACTACTTCTAAACGTAGTTAACAGTTATTTGTTATGTCCGTTGAGCCTTTAAGTAGGTGTTCAACCTAACAGCCCCAGATAAAGCTCTATCAACGCCCATACAAGGCCTTGTAAACGTCTCCTCAAACGCTGTGAAAGCCCAAAGTCACGGCTCATTCGGAGATTCCAAAATGTCGCGCCATGGTAAGGGATGTTCTTGTTTGAAGGTGTATTCGAGTCTCTGGGAAGCCGTCCTAGAAGTCCCAGAATCATAGAAGTAAAGCTCGCTCTTGAGTTCAGAATCGCTTCCAGCACCTCTACAAGAAGATGTCTCCCAAAACAATATCAGCAAGACGGCAAACTGACAGGGTTTTGGTGAGTGTATGTAAGGCTGCGGTGCGAGGACTCGACCAAAGCTCTACTTTCCATCCCAAAACCGGAGCCTTAAACCCTACATGGACCCTAGATAACCTACTTTTCTAGGGCTCATTACTATGTTTTCCTTATATAGGTCCTTGAAAAGGTAAGCTTTTTAGGGTCCAGGTAGACCCTGAGTGGCCTCATTTCGACCCCCGACCACGTCACCGCTGAGCCGATGGGCCAAGGGTGTTTTCCCACAGCGCTTGTTTTCGTTACGTTAAAACCGGGACGGGTTTGGGATTCAGGGTTTAGGGTGTAGGGGTTTAGGGGGTTTTGGTCTTGGTCTTAAAAGGTCACGAGCCTTTACCAAGCAGTCGAGGAAGTAGCCCTTTAGCTTCTAAGCCCTAAGCCCTGAGCCCTAAGCTAAGCACTAGACCCTGGGCCCTAAACCCTAAGCCCTAAACCCTGAGCCCTAAACCCTAAGCCCGAGACCCTAAGCCCTAAACCCTGCAGTTTAGGGCGTAGCATTCACGGTCTAACTGCTAGGCATTAGTGGCTTTAGGACTCCTAAAAGGGGCCGTCTAAAGTCCATGGAAAGATATGTAAAGTGTCGGGTCTTGGGGTCGTCTCGGGTTTACGGTTTAGGGTATTTAAGGTTTTTAGGGTTTTTAGGCCTTAGGGCTTAGGGCTTAGGGTTTAGGGTTTAGGGTTCAGGGATTGGGAGTTTACGTTGTTGGGGTTTCGTCTTTGACGCACATTTGATAACATCCGCAAGCCGGACGAAACCTTAAACCATCTAGCGAACTCAGGTTCAAGTGTGAGAAAAAACACATCCCCCAGCTGGTTTTAATGTAAAGAACTCGAAGTCGAACGGGCTAAGGGCTGGTGACCTTCACCTTAACTTCGCTAAGCAAGCGTTAGGTGCTGGGGTTGGGTTATAGTTTTTAGGGTTTGAGCCCCAAGTAAGTGGTCTCTGTCTAGCCCTCGATGAGGTTTACGGCTTACGGCTGAAATTTCAGGGCTTAGGGTTAGGCCTATCTCAACCGGCAAGCACTCCAGCGAGAAGATCGAAGCTTAAAGCTTTAGGGTTAGTGTTGAGGGTTTGGAGTACGCCCTAAACCCTAAACCCTAAAAGAAACCCCAAGCCCGACAGACCCTAACAGACTTCCATCAACCCCACAAATCCACTGAAGTTTTTGTCAAAGCCAAAAAATCCATGTTCCTTAACCTGCGTGAAATCCCAAGGTCGCTGTACTAAACCGTGTAGTTCGCCGTCAAACACTGGATATCCGTAAGGAAGCAGGAAAACCTCTTGGAAACTTTCTAAAGCCCCAAAGAAGCCTGAACCAATCAACACCTATGCTATGAGCACAGCCCTGCACCCTAGATTTAGCACCCTTCTAAACCCTGAGCCGTAAACCCTGAGCCTTAAACCCTGAGCCCTAAACCCTAAACCCTGAACCCTAAACCCTAAACCGTGTCTTTAAACCCACTTAAGCCGTAAGCTCCAAGCCCCTCACCTTCGGCCCTGGACCCTCAGCCCAAATTCTGAATCCTTAATCCTACTTGAAGGCTCATGGCGCTTAGTAAAAAAACAGAGGTAAGGCTATAATTAAAAAAACGGTTGATGATATAAATCCTGCATTACCCATAATAAGGAATATACCATAATTCCCATAGTTTAGGGCCCTTAAGGTAATGCAGGATTTATATCATCAACCGTAGGTCCACTCAGGGCTACTTACTCATTCCGTTGAGCCTTTAAGTAGACCCCTTGGAAGACCCGGGCCCAAAAACATGTGATGCCCTTGATTTACAGGACGTTTAGGGGTTTAGGGTTTAGGGGTGCGCTGATGTATCTGTAGATGCAGATCCTTTGTTAATCCTGTGGATATCGGGGTACAGGGTTTGGGATCAACCCGCAAGCTATAACCGCAGTGATGAAGTCTTCAACATGCAGTCTTTTGGGCAAGTGGTGAGTTTATGCCTGAAGCCCTAAAACCTAAACCCTGAATCCTAGCGAGGTCTCTGAATTCCTCCAGAGCTACGCCCCAAAATGCTGAAATTCCCAAAGCCCTGAAAAAGCCCGTGTAGACGTGCCGTAGAATACAAGTCCAGAAGCTCTAACACAGCGGCCATAATAATTGGAAGCAACCCTTATGATCCTTAGATTTCCTTTGTAATAGTCTCGTATAACCTCTCTCGTTCTAATTGGTTATGCACCCAAACTCCCGAACTCTCTGAGTCTCTCAACCCTAAAACCCTAAACCCTCAAAACCCCTAGCCACCCCGACAAGCTCAAGGCTGAGGCTGATGTCATAGCCAGAAACCACAACAAAAGCCCATAAGACCCTGTAAAGAACACCAAACCCCGCGCCCTAAACCCGACAGTGAGGCCTGAATCTGAACCCGAAATTCCTAAATCCTTAAAGCCTGAACTCCAGATCCCTGAACTCCAGATCCCTAAACCACAAATCCTAGACCCTGAGGCCAGGAACCCTTCAAGTAGTCCTTGAAAGTCTCCCCCGAAAGGCCCCCGCCATGGCTGTAGAAGCCCTATAAGCCTCCAAAGCCTAAACCCTAAACCTTAAACCCTGAACCCTAAGGCCCTAAACCCTAAGGCCCTAAACCCTAAGGCCCTAAACCCTGAGACCCTAAACCCTGAACCCTAAACTCTGAACCCTGAACCCTGAACCCTAAACCCTGAACCCTAAACCCTGGACCCTAAACCCTTAAAGGATCCCTTAAAGCAGGGAACCCTTCAAGGAACCCTTAAGGGAACCCCACTTGGAGGGTCGAGGGACTTAGTAACTGGTTAGTTTAGGGACTTGTAAGTACCATAACCCGAATTAGGGCCCCTTTCAGAGTACTTATAAGTTTACTTACTACCTACTTACTAAGTCCCTGAACCCTAAACCCTACACCCCATAGTAACCCCTATAGAGCCCTTTAAAGGAACCCTTAGAATCCCCTTTAAAGGAGCCCCCTACTTACTAAGTCCCCCGACCCTCCAAGCACCGTGGCCTAAACCCTAAACCCCTAAACCCAGGATCCCTTAAAGGAGGCAGCCGCCCTTAAAGGAACCCTTAAGGGAACCGCAAGAGCCCCAAGGAACCCTTAAGAGGGCCGTAGATCCTCGTAAGATCCCCCTAAACCCTAAACCCTAAACCCTAAACCCTAAATGAGTCCTTAGAGCCTTAAGGCTGATGCCATGGCTGCCTCAGCTGCTCACCGTCTTCCGGCACGTGCTCCGCACGGCCGTGGGCGGAGCCGGGCCCAAACCCCAGGGGGGGCTCCTTTTAAAGGGATCCCTTAGGGGTTCTATGAGGGTGCTGTTAAGGGGATCCCTAGGGTGCTATGAGGGCTCCTTTAAGGGTTCCTTTAAGCCGGGTCTTTATGTTAAGGGCTTCCGGTGGAGGGGTTTTTAGATTTCAGTCTTCTAGGGTTTAGGGCTCAGGGGTTTTCAGGATTCTTAAAAGCTTTTGTTCCTAAACCCTAAACCCTAAACCCTAAATTGGGGTTTAAGGTTCCAGGCTCCAAACATTCCTAATTCCTGTAAGGCTTCTATAATCATGGGAGGCCAAAAGGGGTTTTTAGCCTATGGGTGTTTAGTAGGGAATGGGGTTCCCATAATAGGGTTCATATTAAGGAACCCTCTCCCAAGAGTCTTAAACACCCCTTTTGGCCTCCCATCATATAAGGGCTATATGGCTTCTATGAGGGTGCTGCATGCTTCCCTTCGGCTTTTCTGAATGCAAGGGCTTGGGCCTCAATAGACAAAGGCCTTGATAGTTGCAATCGAGTCTTGGCATCGTATGTCCTCATATAGTTGTCTAGAGTCTAGGTTCTATAAAAGGGGATATCATTGAGAGTTGTTCCGACGCATACAGCGTGGTTTAAGGTTCTAGGCTTCAGGGCCGCAAGGATGGCTAAGCGTGTTGCTAAACATTTTCAAAGCGAAGCCCCAAACGTACAGGGTCAAGGGCGAAGGGCGAGGGGAGTTTGAGACTTTGAGAAGGTTGAGATCTTCTACCTTTAGGGAATTTGGCGGTCCTGGTGTTCAGGGTTTGAGGTTTTAGAGTTTAGGATTTACAGTGTAGGGCTTGGCTTAGTTCCGGTGGTAGAATGCAGGTTTCTTGGTCGAAACGAGGTGGCCATAGTTTTAGCCAGACATCAGCGTGTGTCTAGTTGAGCTCGACTTACAACCGTAGGCCCTCCGAGTAACCCCGAACCCAACGCGAAGAACCCGAAGCTTTTGAAACATACTTCAAACAAACCATCCACACCCAGACAGCAACTTGAAACTCAGCACCCCAAAACCTTAACTTTAACCCCAAACCCTAAACCCAGACCCGCTGAACCCAAAACCCTAAACCTAAAACCCTAAACCCTTTTCATTAACTTCTCTACTCAGCCTTTCGAGCTCCAAAAAGCCCTGTCGACCTGGGAGATCGCGCAGCTCCGAGCCCTTGTGGGCCACCAATGCAGGTGCCCGAAGGATCAAGATGGAAGGTTTTCGGTGTTACCCAGAGAGCCCAAGTCCCCCTAAGTAAGGAATATGCCTTAAACTACAAGGGGCTTATTTTGATTTAAGTCATATTCCTTAATCAAGGGGTACTGGGCTCTCTGGTACCTTCTGAAGGGTTTACTTAGAGGGTCGGGGGACTTAGTAAGTAGTGACTTTATAGACTTATAACCAGTTTCGATCCCTGTTAGGGCACTTGTAAGTCTACTTATTACCTACTTACTAAGTCCACCGACTCTCCAAGCAGGGGTTTTGGGCTTAGGGCTTCGGGCTTGTGTAAAGAAGCAAAATAGCCGTAGCCTCTTCTATGATCCTTCTTCTTGTTCTTCTTTGTTAGGGACAAGAACAACACACAAATATAGTAATGAGCACTACTTCCTGATACGGACATTACCTTCAACAGTTCTCTGTCATGCTCGTTGCTGTCTTTGAAGATTTCATTTGTGCCGTATTGTGTTTCTTCTCCTTGTTCTTGGAACTCAACATTTTGCAGGAGGGACCTGAAAGGGAGTTGTATCCGTGCTTTAAGCCTCCACAAAGCATGTGTTGGATCGGACCCTAACAGGAACCCAAACCCTAAACCCTTAGCCACAAGCGGAACCCAGACCCTAAACCTGGTTGCCGTGCAGCCTTGCTCTGCAGGGTGTAATACGGTTTGGGACAAGGGTGACCGAAATGTGATCCTGTCCGCCCGTCCAAAAGCCGCTCAAGCGCAGCTGTCAACAAATGGCGTGTCGATGATTCTTACGCGAGTTCAAGGAATTTTGGGGAAGGTCACCCAAAACTCTGCCAAAATCGTCAACCCGAAACTTTCAAACCCTAAACCATAAATCCGGGCCCCATCATTCCGCAAGCTGGCAGTAGGCTCTTCTTGCAGGTTCGTGGGCACTATAGCGGCCTAAATCCTAAATAATTACCAATACTATTTTTGGAGTTGCTTTTTATAGGTATAATATAATGGGTTTTGAATCTACTGTAATCATTAAGGCCCCTATAGTAGTTAGGTCGCTCCCCCTTACACCAACAGTCGCTCAACAAGGAATTACCCAGCTCCCTGCAATATCCCTACACTGGTCTCTTGAGGCAGGGAGACTTGCCGAGGGCGGTGCTGCAGGTACTTCGTTTGGGGCCGCTTACAAGTCTTCAAGTCCTGGTTGCATATATTGCAGCCCTTTATCCGGCTTTCTATGTGCCAGCAACGGAGCCGCACCACCCAAACCCGAAACCCTCAACCCTCAACCTAAACCTCTAAGCCCTTAAGCTTTAAATCCCACCCTGAATCCTGAGTCCTGCAAACATACATAGAATGCCGGAAATCTCATGATTTTCGATGGAAGCCGCGTCTCCATCCGCCCGGGGTCGCTTCAGTCGACGAAGGAGTGACTGGCGCTTCGGGACTTCAGAGTCTAATACAGGAGCTAAAGAATTAAGCTAGGGCTCCTTTAAAGGTTCCTTTAAAGGTCATGATGGAGGTTTAGTATAGAGGTCTTACTGATTAACATCGGTTTTTAGGGTATATCGTACTATGGGTAGTTGTCCAAATTAGGGTCCCTTTTAGGGTCCCTATTATAGTACGGCTCCTAATATTTAGAGTACCCAATTAGGGACACCTGCCCTTTACTGACAGGGACTGTAAACTCTAGGGCTCCTGGCCTCGGGTTTAGGGGTTTCCGTGTTGTACTTAAAGGCTCCTACGACTTAGTGAGTAAGGTTATAAAGGATAACCCCAGTTAGGGGACTTATAACCCCACTTATAACCTACTTACTAAGTCCCATGATCCTCTAAGTATTGGGGCCACATCATCTAACTCGGGCGCGCCTCCTCTTGGAAGCGTGGCTCACATGCTGCATGCCGGGGGAAGGGGCTACAAGATGTTTTAGGCTTCTGTTGCTGGGTCGTCCTTTGGGATCTTTTTAAATTCCCCCCCACTATTTTGTAGAGAACCATAATAACAAACAATTCTCAAGGGGCTTAAAGGACAACTCAGGTTGTCGCGAGTCGCGAGCGACGGACGTGAAAGATTAAAATCAAAGCTGGGAGCGGAATGATTAGCAATAGTATCCCAGTACAGTATGCTCCCAACCCGAAACCCAAGGCCCCACGCCCGAAGCCCTGCCTTAGACGGTAAGGACCGCTTCACAATGTGGCTTGTTAGTTTAGGGTTTAAGGTTTAGGGTTTGGGCGAGGTGTCGGTGGAGGAGGGAATCCCGAGAAGGGAAACTAGTTTGGAACAGTGCCGTGATTATGGAAGTGCAGTTTTCTCGGCCGTTCAGGCACCAAACCCAAAGTGCACCCTAGCCCCGAGGCAGGGCCCTTAACCCTACGCCGTCAATCCTAGCTCCCAAACTCGAGGTTCTAAGGCCTATATAAGCTTTACCTGGACCCTAAGGAACCTACCTTTTTAAGGACTTACATAAAGAAATCATATTGGGGGAACCCTAAAAGGGTAGGTTCCTTAGGGTCAAGGTAAGCACCTGCACAACCTCACAAGCTGTGCAAAGCATTTGCAAAGCCTTCGTGCGGCTCGAAACCCTCCTATGAGCTCACGACGAAACTCTGTGGAACCCTCTAGAAGTGTCAAACCGAAGCTGTGAGGAGTATGACCAAGCTCGGGCAAACGTCCTGCATTTCGATTCCCAGAAGGTCTGTTGCTTCGTGGAGCACCCATAAATGAACATGTTCTTTGGTTCAGGGTTATCGGCTTTGGGGATTTGATCTGGTACTAGGCCTTCGCCATCGAATAACAAGGGTGTTAAGCCTGGTGTCCTGAGACTCCAGTATGTTCACTTCACGGATATTTCGGAAGAGGTTTAAGGATTTTCATTCACAAGGGTTCCATGGGCTTGCAAGGGGTCTTCGAGGGATTTTTCCATGAGGTTCTGTTGAGGCAGTATGGGTGTGTAGGCCAAACCGACCCAAACCCAAGCAACGAGTTCTTTTCATGGCTATATAGTATCAAGCACCCAACAGAAAGTCTCATCATCCAGGCTCCTACACCCTAAACCCAAACCCTAAACCCGCCCTATGGCAGGTCTTCAGGTTTTTTTGGGGGTGAGGGCAGGTTTAGTGTTCCTCGAACCTCTTCCAGCCGGAAGCGCAGCAGGCTAGTGGGCTCATAGGGGGGGCTGTAGAGTTTATCATTGTTCAGAGTTCGGGGTTAAGGGTTGTGGGGCTAAGGGTTTAGGGTCGGGAGCTGTTGGGCTTCTTGTCAGAGGGTTTTGGGTGTAACTATATGTATATACATTGCGGTAACTCTAAAAAATGTTACTTACTAAGTCCCATGATCCTCCAAGCAGTGGGCTCTCTGGATGCAGGACCGATATGCACTTCAGCTCATCCACCCAGACTTCGATGGCAAGAGGCTCTCGGATCCGTGCAGGGGGGAGGGGGTGCCTGTTTTCAGGTCCCATGAGGGTAGACCCAAAGCCCTAAAAGCCCTTAAATCCTAAACCCGTCAATAACCCTTAATAAATCATCTCTAACATCCTAGCTCGAGTGACCCTAAACCCTAAAAACCCCGTATCAACTGTATAACCTAAACTCACCCATATAGATCCCATGAAGGAAGCTTTTAAGGAGCCCTACTTACTAAGTCCCCTTAGCCTTTAAGTAAGCCCTAAACCTAAACCCTTAAAGGAAAACTTATTATACATAGAACCCCATAGCATGCTTAAAATGAATCCCAAACCCTAAACCCTAAACCCTAAACCCTAAAGCCTAAGGCCCAAAGCCTAAAGACTAAACCCTAAACCCTAAACCCTAAACCCTAAAGCCTAAAGCCTAAACCCGAAACCCTAATCCTAAAATCTTCCTCCAGGATGCTCTGCCGAAGGGAGGCCCTGGATTTCCACTTCGCGGCCCTGCGGCTGGGCCACAGATTCACTGTTTCTTTGGGCTACTTTAGTCATAGGGATCCTTAGGGGTGTAGGGGGAGGGGGGGTAGGGGGCCTTAAGGCCCATAATAAGGACTAATAAGGCCTATTTAAGGAAATATAGTCCCCTACACCCCTCCCCCCTACACCCCTAAGGATCCCTATGATTTAGGTTTTAGGGTTCAGGCTAGAGGTTCAGGGTTTAGGGCGTAGGGCTTTTGGTTTAGGGCCGAGGGCTGAGGTTTACGGCTTAGGGCTTAAGGTTTAGGGTTTACGGGGTTTAACGGTAAATGTAGGGTTTAAGGTTTAGGGGCCCGTTTCAAACATTCGCTGGTCTTTGGTTGGTTTCTGCTTAGAGGATCAGGGGACTTAGTAGGTTGGGTTCCTTAAAGGGTTCCTGTAAGGGATCGACAAGGGGGAGTTTAGGTTACTTAGAGGATAGCGGACTTAGTAAGTGGGTTCTATACTTCGGGTTATAAGTCCCCTAAGTGAGGGTTTCTTAATTGTATTATATCCTACTTAGAGCCTCACCTGCTAAGTCCCATGATCCTTTGCGTATGTTGGCGGGATGGGGCTGGGTGGGGGTGGTTGAAGCAGGTGAGCGTTGAAGTGAGGGCTTCAGTTTTTTGTGCTTTGGTGTTTTGGTTTTGAGGCTTCTTCGGGTTGAGCTGGTTTAGGGATTGATTTTGGGAGCTTGTAGTCTTATAGATGGGGTCTTTAAGGCTTCAAGATTTTTTTATGTAGTAATGCTGAGGTTTTACGTTTTCTTTTTTTCTGGCTGGGCTTCTACGATTGTTTGCACCAGCATTGGTATCACTTGCAGACGGGATTGTTCCCGTGTAAAAATCATTGCTCGCGGCTTCGCAGGGTTTGGATCCTTAGTCCTCAACCTGGAAACTTCCCTAAACTAAACCCTCAACCCTAAACCTGAACACTAAAAGCCCCTAGACCCTCCGAAACCCTCAGCCTTCAAACCTCCCTAGACCAAATCCTCAACCCTAAACCCTGAACCCTAAACGCCCTAAACCCTAAACCCTAAACCCTAAACCAAACCCTCAACCCTAAACCCTCAACCCTAAACGCCCTAGACCCCCCCTCCGAAAAACACCAAAACCCGACGCCATCTAACCCTAAACTAGGTAGGCCTTTGGGACATTTTATATTTTCCCTTATAGGGCTTAGTAGGATCCTATTTACGAATATTTTTCAGAGGCTTTGAAGGGCCAACCTAGTAAAGAAACCCCGAAGTCTTGAGCTTTATCGGCCCTGGGCCTGAACCCGAAACCCAAAAACCCACGGCACACTTATAATAAGGACCCTAAATGGGGACCGAATTGCTTAAAAGGAACCCTAACCCTACTTATTCTTCCAGAAGATGTGCCCTAAAACGTAAGCCCTTATCCAATCCCATGAGCCTTGAAGTAGACCCTTAACCCTAAAGCTTAGAAGCTGCCCCCATCCTGTAATAGTGACTAAAAGGATTATATTCGGGGCCTACTATATTCCTATTATACCACTATTACAGGGTGGTGGCACCTTCTAACCTAAACCCTAAACCTGACATCCGAAGGATCTGGAAACTGGGGTAAGAGAGGAGACAACCATACTTGTGAGTACTTATACCCACCGTTAACGTAGCTATAACTTTGCTTACTAAGTCCCATGATCCTCCAAGTATGTATTTGAATCTAAGCCTTCCAAATTGAGAAAGCCGAAGAGGAAAGCTTTAAATTCCAATTCCAAACCCTAGACCGCAACACCCAAGCCCCCTAAAAGCCTGCATAATAGTATTATTTACGCGCGGCCAGTGGCCTGCAGCCAAGTGGTACACACATTGCCCAGGGCGCCCGGTGCGGTTGCAGTACAGATTTGTTCAGAAGCCTGTGGCTTCCAGTGCTCGGGCGGTAGCTCCCGAACCGGACAAGGACTTCATTCAGTCCGATTGCTTCTTCCTGAACAAGTCCTTCGGTGTCACCACGTCCTGGTTGCGAGCAGGCGGCATTTGTAGGAGTTCTTCCATCGTTCCATGGTCGCGGTGCAGCTGGAACTCAGACTACTGGCTGGACCATGCCGCAATGCCTGCACTGCCAGGCGCCGGTGGAGCGCGAGCCCAGCCCCGACTGTCTGTGTGGTAGTTCCAAGAATGTACTAGTACTGCCATTACCAATACCAGGAGGACAACGACCAAGACCATTACCACGACGACCACTTCAAGGCATCCTTAAAGTAATCCTGGAAGCAATCCCAAAAAAGAAGCTAACCGACCTTTAAAGCATGCCTACAGAGGGTTCCAAGAAGGAACCCTGAAACGAACCCACGGCATTCTTGAACTCCTTCAAGCAATCCTTAACAAAACCATTGAAGCAACCCCAAAATATAAACCCTGACCCTAAACCCTAAAGCCACGAAGGCCCCTAAGCCACACTTGGAGGGTCGGGGTGGCAAGTAAGTAGACTTACAGGTACCTCGACATGGATTCTAATTGAGGCTGTAAATAGATACTTCTAAGTCTCCCGACCCTATAGATCCCGTGAAGGATCCTTTTCAGGAACTCTGCTTATTAAGTCCCCCGACCTTCCAAGTAAGCACCAGGCAAGGCAACTTGGAGGCGGCCAAGGCTCCGGCTTTGCTTCACATGGCTTTTTCACTTGGGAGAGTTCTGTAAGGGGTAGGGTTTAGGGACTAAGGCTTAGGGTGGGCTTTAATGGAGCCAAGTAAGTTTCTTCGGATTTTTGCGGGGCCTTGGATGGTCTCAAAACGGTTTTGTTTTTAGGTTTTCATGGGTTTTTGTTTTGTTTTTGATGTTTTTTTAAATATGGTCTCCGCTAGGGTTTGTTTAGATGGGTTTCCGAAGGGTTTTGTACTCCCGAAACCCTGAGCCCTGAAACCAGTTGCGTTTTCTAGCTTTTCTAGTCCGCAACCCCGAAATATTGTGCGAGATCTCAAAGTAGGTCAGAAAGCCAAGCATTTCTGGTCGCGATGCCCCCAGACGACCTACACTGAAACCCCAAAGCTTGACACGGCTCTTGATGTGTGATCGAATCAGCAAGGCGGCATTCCATCGGCGGGATATCCGGCATGCATGACCGTAAGCGAGGACGGCTCGTTCGATAAAGCTCCTCAGCACATTCCTGAGCCTCAGAAGTCGCAGACGTTCTTAGACTTCCTCGAGTCGGGCCACGAAATGGCCACAGGCTTCGAGCAGATTGTTTCAGCAAAACCCGTCCAACATTGGAAGCAGAAGAGATTCCGCCACCGGAGTGGGGTGGCCCTGAACCACCATCCCACCACATTCCCGCATATCAGAAAGCTGTACCTCAAGGCCTCATGGAGTTTGTGCATGAAGATGCGAGAGGTGACCTCGTCCGCCGTGGGTGCGAATGCTTCGGTGTCGATGTTGGAGTGGTTTAGCGAGGGAAGTGTTTTTGGACTCCAGGTGGCAATCGGTGACCCGTGATTTCTTGCAGCATTGCAAAGATCATTGAAGTTGCTTGTAGTTCTTTGTCTCGGAATCTAATCGTAACCACAAACCGATACGGAATCCAGAATTGTGACAAACTGCCCATAAGCCTGGAAAGTAAGCGCTAAACCCGACGCCCTACGTCCTAAGCCCCAAGCCCCAAGGCCCTAAAACCCTAGAACCTAGTGTGTTGGGGTCCGGGTTTAGGGTTTAGGGTTTAGGGTTTAGGGTTTAGGGTTTAGGGTTTAGGGTTTAGGGTTTAGGGTTCGAGGCGTCAGTTCAGAGTTTGTTACCAGTGCCGTTTGATAGCTGTACAGGATTGCTAAGGTTATGTGAGCCTTTTTTGAGTTTGGCTCTGGGGAGGTGGTGCAGGTTCGGAAGGATTGCGATGTCCAGGGTTTGGGGGCTTTTGAGAAATCCCCCATTACCAAATGGACTCTAAACCTTAAGGCAAACTATTTGATTAAACCTACGACCCAAGAATTTCATGAAATTCTTAAGCCCTAGACCCTAAACCCCAACCGCCGCTCCAAACTCAGACCCTAAACCCCAAAAGTCCTGATAAACATGCTACAAAAACTTAGAGGGTTATAAATCCCTGTGCGGAACCTTGCTGAGGACATAGACGAAAACATCCCCTTACAGTCCCTGAAAATACCACAAGATGATTTAAAGCCCTCTTCCGATTGTTAATGGCCCGAAATCAAGACCCCATAATAGCCTTATCGAGACCCCTTAACGGGACCTCGTCAAATTAGCCCTATATTATGTAGAAGCAGCGCACCGTTTAGAATCCTTGAAACGGAACCCTGCTACAATTAGTAGGGGGTCCCCACATTACCTTCTCGAGCCCTTGTGAATCCTTAGACTAAACCCCTAAAGCCACAATCCTAACCCTAATCTTAAACCCTGAAGCCTACATCCTTAAAAGGAGCCCTTATACTTGGAGGAGTATGGGACAAAGCAAGTAAGGGGTTATAACTATCCTACTTGGCGTAATGGTAAAAAGTAAATATTAGGTCTGATGACCTCATTAGTAACCGTAGTTGCTGATTCCCATGGTACTTTAAGTACCCAAAGGCCACTACCCAGCATCGCAGGCCGAGCTGCGAAAGCGCGCCGTTGCCTTCCAGGCCTGGTTTCAGTGGAGTTTTATGGTTCCTTTTAAGCGGGTTCTGTAAGGGTTACTACAGGGTTTCGGGTTTCGGAGTTCAGGGTTTAGGGAGGGTTCAGGGTTGAGGGTTTCTGTCCGCGGTGCTCAGCTCGGCCAGACGCCGTTCCACATCCCAGTTAGACCCTAAACCCTAAACTGCCTAAGCCCTAAACGCAAAACCCTAAACCCTAAACCCTAAACTCTAAACTCTAAACCCTAAACCCTAGACCCTGAACTCTAAACCCTAAACTCTAAAACGTTTAGTCCCAGGGCGCAGGCGCGGTTTGCCGGCTTTCAGGGTGTCTGGTCATTCTGTTGATGGACAAAATCCTGCATGACCTTAAGGACTCTAAACTTTGGGAACTATGGTATATTCCTTCTAATGGGTAATGCAGGATTTATATCATCAACCCTAAACCCTAAACCCTAAAACCCTATAGATGCCGGAAAGGTACCCTTGGAGATCCCTTAAAAGGAGGTAATGCATGATTTTGTCCATCAACAGGAGTCCGGGGCTTTGAGGTTTCAGGTCGTGCCATGGTTCTGCTCGCAGGATCTTAGTAGGGTTCCTTTAAAGGGATCCTTTTCTAGGGATCTATAAGGGTTTAGGGTTTAGGGATCTATAAGGGTTCCAAAAGGGGGAGTTTAGGGTATTTAAAGCGTCATGGGACTTAGTAAGGGATCTATAAGTCTATAGTAGGGTTCCTTAAAGGGCTCCTTGAGGGTTTAGGGTTTAGGGATCTATACTCAAGGGTTCTATAAGGGGGAGTTTAGGGTTAGCAAGGTTCCTGAAAGGGCTCCCTAAGGGATCCTTTAGGGTTTAGGGTTTTGGGTTTTGGGTTTGGGGTTTAGGGATCCTATCAGCGTTCTAATCTATAAGGGGGAGCTTAGGATACTCGCAGGATCATGGGACTTCGTAAGCCCTTGGGTTCCTTTAAAGGGCTCCTTTTAAGGGATCTAGACGGGTTCTACAAGGGGGAGTTTAGGATACTTAAAGGGTCATGGGACTTAGTAAGTAGATTATTCTAATTGGGGTTATAAGTTCCCTAAGTGGGGTTATCCTAATTGTGGCCTACTTCTAGCCTTACTTACTAAGTCCCATCAGCCTTCACGTAGGGTTTGCCGATGCAGTTCCTGACAAGCTCTTGCCATTTCCGAATCGTCATCCCAACACCCAGACCCCAAAAAGCCTCTAGTCTAAAGAACTGGGAAAGCATGCTCACATCTCTAAGACCATACAGAACTTAAAGGACAATAGGAAGCCCCACTCTTTTTCTTAGGACCTTGTTCACTGCTAGGACTGTGATGGCTTCCTGCCGGGGCGGACGACGCCGGCTGAGCCGGCAGGACAGTCGGTGGGTTGGTTTGGGGCTTAATGTAGGAGCCTGATACAGAAACCCTGGGCCAGGAACACCAAAAAAGCAGAGTTCATAGAAAAAACCCAAATAAAAGCCCAAAGTTTCTTAATCAGGCTCCTAGATTATCGCCCTCATAGAACCCTATAGATCCCTTAAAGGATCCCTTAAAGGAGCCCTCGAAGGAGCCCTAGAGGGTTCCCTTAAAGGATCCTTTGTGGCTCAAGGCTTGGGGATTCGGAGCACAGGAGTTTGGGGAGTTTAGGGGTTTAGGGTTTAGGGTTTAGGGTTTAGGGGTGGTTTAGGGTTTAGGGTTTAGGGGTTTAGGGTTTAGGGGTTTAGGGTTTAGGGTTTGTCGGGTCGGGATCTCTGAATCAGCAGCCGGTGCTGGTGATGATGCTTCTGCCCTCAACCCTAGATCCCCTAAGCGCTAATGTCGGAACCTGATTAAGAAACCTTGGGCCTTTGTTTGGGTTCCTTATATGAGTCTTACTACTGTTTTGGGTTAAAGGCCCAGGATTTCTTAATCAGGTTCCTACATCGGCCGCTAAGCCCTTGTGTCCTAACCCTAAACCCGAACCCCAAGCCCCTAAACTTTAACGATGACGAAAGTATCGACGTGTGGGTAGTTCTAAAAACGAGGGTTTTTTTAGGTCCCCACAATGGTACGGCTCCCTTATAAAAAGGACCCCTAGAAGGGACCCTAATTTAGAGAATTACCCATATCCCTAAACTCCCTTATGGACCCCTGCAGCCCTAAATCCCAACCCTGAAAACCCTTAAAACCCTTTAAAGCCACTTAAAACCCTCAAAACCATAAAAACCCTTAAGACCCTGAAACCTCAACAGTATAGTTTGGATTGTTGTTTCGTGGATGTTCCAACACAGAGATGCAGCCAGGGTTGCCGAGTGCAGAAGCTTTGTTTTCCTCATGAGGCCAGAAGTTGTGCACAGATGTACTTTAGGCACGTCCTTGGTAAGGTCTTAGTAGCTGGGTGGATACACTTTACACTTTTTGGGATAATACTAGCCACATACAACGACAAATGTGCACTTTTTGGGGCTTATGAACTCAGCAACTAAGAGGTAGTGATAGTGTAACAGGCTGGTCGGGCGGGGTTTCGGGATGTGCCAGCAAGCAGACGGAAAAGAGCCCCTCCCCCCAAAAAGGAAAGACAGTTGAAACCCTTAGATTCAGCGAACCCTAAACCCTAAAGCCCTGAACCCTTAAAATGTTAGGACCCTGATGTAGAGAACCGCCGCATGTTTTCCAGGCCAAGCCCCGCGACGCCTGGGAAAGGCGGGGCTTTTCAGGGTTTAGGGTTTAGGGCTGGGGGATTTAGTACGTAGATAACAAGTGGAGTTATAAGTAGCCAAGAAATGGATCCTAATTGGGGTTATGATACTTATACATCTACAAAAGAACTACTTACGAAGTCTTTTGGTACGGTTTTGTTTTGGGGGGTTACGGGAGTTATTTGGAGCAGCAGCAACTATACTGTAGATGGGCACAATTCCGCATTCTCCTGTATTGAGGATTCGTGCCATGATACAGAGGCATGAAAAATTATTACACAAGTTTTTCCTTAGGGTTCCTGGTCATACCCCCAAAGCCTGATTCACAATATTACACCCTAAACCCTAGACCCCTAAACCCGAAACCCTAAACCCCCAAAAAAAAACCTAAACCCTAAACCCTAAAAAAAAGCCCTAAACCCTAAACCCTAAGCCATATGTCCGGTACATTAATAATGTCCATAGCTCAGGCCAGTCTCATGCAACACGGTCCAGCATGGTGCGGTTTTGGGAGAAGTTGCCCTTCGTTGGCGTTTCAGGGCATCCAGGGTTTAGGGTTTAGGGGTTTAGGGTTTTGTCTTTTAAGGGTTTCTGGAATGTTGGTAGCTGTAGACTTAACGTGGAGTTCAGGAAGTTCGACAGGCTGTGTTCCAGCGTTGCACAAACGGACATGTCCACGAACACACCAACCCTGAACTCTGAACGTTGCATAAGGCCGCCACTGCTAATCCCATGTGCCGGGACCGCTCAAGCTTCGTGTCATTGAATGTATGTATAAAACGCCACTCGAATGTCCACACCGACGCCTAGAAGACAAGAGAAAGCTCCTACAGCAAACTGTTCGGCATGCCTTTCTCTCCACAGCGCCACTCGAGCCCTAACCCGAAACCCTAAACCCGCAAACTCTTCATGTCGCTAAGCCAGTGCTAAGCAAGCAAGCCCCGAGAAGCTTCAAAATCCCCAAACCCTAAACCCTTAAACCCTATACCCTTAAACCCTAAACCTGTAAACCCTTAAACCCTAAACCCTCAAACCCTTAAGCCCTAAACCCTTAAACCCTAAACCCTTAAACGCTTAAACCCTAAACCCTCAAACCCTTAAACCCTGAACCCCTAAACTCCTAAACCCTAAACCCTGAAACCTTGAACCCCTAAACTCTGAACCCTAAACCCTAGTCCTAAAGCCGCCGTTGCGGGCAGGCCTTGGTGGCGCAGAGGAGCTACGAGAGTGGCTCCCTCGTCCTGGTCGACTCACCCTTCCTCGTGGTGCCTCGCTGGGACTTAGTAAGCAGAGTGGTTCCTTTTAAGGGTACTATAGGGTTCTATAGTAGGGTTCCCTTTTAGGGGTCGGCATACTTAAAGGCCCATGGGACTTAGTAAGTAAGGCTATAAGTAGGTTATAAGTAGGATAACCCCACTTGGGGGGCTTATAACCCCACTTATAACCTACTTACTAAGTCCCATGATCCTCTAAGTAGCTGAGGGTTTAGGTTCCCAGAGACTCCAATATCCCTGAATTAAGGAATATACCTTAAATCATATTGGGGATCCTACTATAATTTAAGGAATATTCCTCAATTAAGGGATATTGGAGTCTCTGGGTTGTCGGATGTAGGATGTAGGGTTCTGGGTTTACGGCTTAGGGTCGAGGGTTCAGGGTTTCGGGGTCTGGGTCTATGTTTCTTTCTTAAGGGTTTCGGACCCAGGAGTTGAGAGTTCACGTTGTGGGGTGTAGAGAGCAACCTCCCTAAACCCTAAGTTCTAAACCCTATATAAACCCTAAACCCTAAACTCTAGACCCTAAACCCTAAACCCCTACACCCCCAAAGCGGGTATTTCGCGCACCTGGAGGTTCCTTCGCGGCAGACGTCGTTAGAAAGGTCCTATTGTTAGGGTCCCTTTGTTTTGCAACTGGAAATCCTTAGAAGCCCGCATATTCGGCTTCCCAGACCCCAAACTCGGCCTCAATCTTAAACCCTACACTCAAAAACAACCCTAACTCTGTAAACCTTGAGGCAAGCACCGCCCCTCCCCCACTTCACCAAAACAAAATATCAGACCCGCCGAATCCCTGTTCTAACTTGAGGCTAGAGAGCGTTTCTGTGGGATTATCCAAGTTTTTCACACTTTTCATATTATCTATAGAGTTTTCAGTCCCTTGAATGGTGGGTCGGATTCCACCGGCAAGCCTATGTTTTACAGCTCCTCACAAAAACTCCAGGCTACAAGACTTTCAGGCCAGCGTTCCTCGACCGCAAAAGACCTCTAGACTCTAAACCCTAAACGGCCAATACCGTTAGGCCTAAGATGGCCCAAATCCTTAAGCTCCCAGCACCAACGCCCTGAAGCTCTACACTCTTTCCAAAAAGACCCTATAGCACTATAGCCTTAACCCTAAACCCCAACCCTAAACCGCAGCATCGACTTGCATGTCAGCCCTAAGTCGTAGGATCTTTCTTTTCAGGAACCCCTGTGAAAGGTACACTGAAGCTGTCTGAAGCCCGCCGGCGGAGGTATCGAACCCCGACGGTTTGGAGAGATGGATACGGCGCTGGGACTGCTACTACGAGATAATGAAGCCCGGGTCTCAAGTTTCGGGTTTAGGGGTTAGGGTTAACTTGGGTGTGGGTGTAGGGGTTCAGTGGTGTTGAGATTTGGGATTTGGGGTTTGGACTTGTGTGCGTCAGGCTTTGGCAAGAGGTCTTCCGAAAGAGGGGGTTTCCTTACTCGCCGTGGTAGCTTAAGTCAGGTTCCCGAACCAGAACCCAGAAGACTACAGGGCGTTCCTATATCTAGAGTTTGTGACCCACCATCGGGGTGTCTTGCACGAAAAGCCGGGAACAGACACAGGGGTACTTTAATAAACCCCAGGCCCGAGGCTCGGAATGATGCTGGGGTCCCTCACCAGGTGTTGCTACCCTAAAACCGAGGTGCAAAGCCTTACACGTTAAACCCGGAACCTGAAACCCTAAACCTTGGGTTAAGGCTGACCCTGCCCTAAATCCAACTCCCAACCCCTAAACCCCTAAAGCCCCGTAAAAGGTGTGCCCTTATAGAACCCTTATAGATCCCTTAAAAGAGCCCTCTAAGGAACCCTTTGGCCCTAAATCCTAAACCCTAAACCCCTAAACCCTAAACCTTAAACCCTAAACCCCTAAACCCCTAAACCCTAAACCCTAAACCCCTAAACCCTAAACCTTAAACCCTAAACCTTGGGTTGGCTAGAATGGTCGAGCATTGCGGCAGACGGCGGGACCTGAGCGACGACTTCCTCGCCCGTGTCCACAGCGCCGGCGGCGCCTTAGCGCACGTCGACCTCAACTGCAGCGCCATCGCTTTCGAGGGCCAATGCTTCCGGTGCAGCAACAAGCACAGCTGCACCTGGAATGACCTCCTAATCAACCGATTGCACTACGGCTACAGCGGCGGGCGTCAACTCACAGCCTGCGCCTACGGCGCCTGCTGCTGCATGAGTGTGAGGACGCAAATGCCATCAAGAGGTTTCACAACCTCTACTGCAGGGCAGACGTCTACCGCACCTCGCGCCGGTGCAACGGCGTCTACTGCCAAGAGGGCACGGATGCAGGCACCGTCACACTTGAGAAGTTCACCGGCCTCAACATCTGCAGCGAGGGGAAAAAGGACGGCAGCGGCAAGTTGAGCCTCAGCGACATCAACTCACCGCCCGACAACCCCCTTCACCACGTAGTTTTTTCACCCGGATATAAGGATAGAATTAAGTTTACCAAGTCTGCCCGAAGAGGACACCCCCAGCGATACTGGTTAGAGCAAGTTGCGGAATGGACTCTACCGGTATTCCAAGCCCACCTGGACCACACCGCCCAAGACAGTAGAAGAGACTTACTTGGACTAAAACAGTATTCACAGTTACACCCCGAATATAGCCTACAATTGGAGACTGCGCCGACGCGCTCGCCTGCTTTGTTCAAAAGACACGTTACCCTTGGATGCGCATGGCAACCGTAAAAAACCTTGGGTTAAGGCTGACCCTGCCCTAAATCTATGAAGTTCGGTGGAGGATGGCACAGGCTGGCCAAAGAGAGCTCTTGGACAGCTTTGAGGCACGGTGTAGGGGTTTAGGGTTTAGGGTCTAGAGTTTAGGGTTTAGGATTTATATAGCGTTTAGAATTTACGGTTTAGGGAGGTTGCTATCTACACCGTGGAGGTGGGTACTACAGGGGGGGCTCTTAATTGGGATCTATAGTAGGATTCTATTATGTAGGGGCCTTAATAATTAGTACAGGGTTGGGGGGTTTGAGGCACGGTGGATATGAACTTGGCTTTAGCGTTCTGAAGAGTTTTTGCAGGGCTCGTAGACGGTTCTGAATGGTTTCCTGGGGTACCGGGTTCGATGGGGTTTATGCGAAGTTGGGTTTGTCAGGCATGTCGTTGTTTGGTGTACATCGTATAGGGGCCTATGGTTCCTTATTATCATTCTAGTATAAGCCCTGTCCTAATTATTGAGGCGCCTATATTAGGCTTCTCAGGAACTTGATTATCTAGGTCGATGCGACGCTGCTTCACACGGAGAGTTTCCCAGGCAGGGACTCTGCGCCAAAACCAAGGATCCCTAAACACACCCTATCTGAATCCTAAACAACCTACCCGTTTAGGCTTCCTTGAGAAGATCACTTATATGAGTGCATAGAGAGGTCGGTTCTTTAGGGCATAGTTTAGTCCTAAATCCTGAATCTGAATTACTGGACCAAAACCAAACCCTACACTCCCTCAAGGGGCCTTCAGGTGTAATCCCAGAGGTTGGCTGTTATGGTTTCCTTAGAATGCCAGTAGCCCACAATTATGGTAGATTTTCACTCTTTTCCTAATTCTTTGGGTTTACGTGGACAGTTATTGGGGATAATTAGGCTGCCCAGGTGGGGCAGAGGGTTTAGCCCTACCGCTGGACGGGCACTCATGGTAGTTTCTCGAAGCTAGGCCAGTCTCGCGTGTCTTGCTTGTGTGTGTGAAGCAGCGGCCAAATGGAAAAATGCACACTGAGACTCTCGATCCAATGATGCTAGGCCATGTTTCAGGGTTTAGGCTTAGGGGTTTTGGATTTTGACCCAAACCCTAAAATTTGTGACCTTTGAGTTCGTTCCTTCTTCGTGCCAGGCCATGGACGACGGCGGCGAGGACGTTGCGGAGGACTCAGAAGGTCCTCCGGAGTGGGAAATTCCGTGTGCGACGAGGGCTCGAAGTCTCCAAGGAGCCTAATTCCTTCGGGTTCCGTATTGTACTGATACTACGTATAACTATACCCCAAAGCCATGTTCTCATTTTTAGGGTCTCTACATTAGTTTTCGAGTATTCTAAGGCTTAAACCTTAAACCTTAATCCTAAACCCTATAAACCCCTTCTCCAACCTGCGAAGCATTCTTAACCCCAAACCGTAAACCTTAATCCGAAACCCTGTAACCCTTAAGATCCCTAAACCTAAACCCTCAAAGCCCTTACAACCCCTAAACCCTAATCCCCTTCTCCAAAAGCCTGTCAAGCCCAGAGCCTTAATTAGTAGGATTCCTAAGTTAGGGGATAAACCCTAGACCCTGATAGATCCCTGTATGGGAACCCTCAGGCCTTAGGTATATTCCTTAACTAGGGGATAGTAGAATCCCCTAAACCCTCTAGATGCCTTATAGGATCCTTTAAAAAGGAACCCCCTAGGTATTCCCTAACTGAGGGATACTTGGAGGGTCGGGGGACTTAGTAAGTAGGTAATAAGTAGACTTATAAGCAGCCCAAACGGGTTCCTAATTGGGATTATGATACTTATAAGTCTATAAAATAGCTACTTACTAAGTCCCCCGATCCTCCAAGTATTGGAATCTTTGGGAGCATCCCGAGGTCCAGTCGCTCTGCGCTGACGCCGGGGAGACGCTGAAGCTGCTTTGGCAAGCAGCGGGGACCTCAGATCCTCATGGGACTTAGTAAGCAGAGTGTTTAGGGTCCCTTTTAAGGGTGCTATAGGGTTCTATACTGGGGTTCCCTTTAAGAGTTTGGGGTTTAGGATCTACTTAACGGCACATGAGACTCAGTAAGTAAGGTTATAAGGTAGGTTATACTTATCATAACCCCACTTAGTGGACTTATATCCACAATGATAAAGTACTTACTAAGTCCCATGATCCTCTAAGTGGGGTTTAGGCTCTAGAAGCAGGCTATGTGGACATGTGAGCACGAACTCGAGCCAGCGACAAGCGAAAATCATGTCACAGCTGCACTGATGAAATAACCTGCCCACAAGAACCTAAACCCTAAACCCTAAACCCCTAAACCCCTAAACCCTATACCCGGCCAGATCTGCCCTGCGCTGAGCCCTGCATCATCTTTTGCGAAGGTTTTTGTGGGCCTCTGGCTGTCTACAGCTATCGACGAACACGGTTGAGGGTTTAGGGTTTAGGGCGCAGTCGCGCACAATCCGTGCAATGTCTGTAATTCCGACCACCCCAGACTCCCACTCAGATCCCCAAGCCAAGCCATACCTTATGAATCCCCAAACCCTAAACCATACTGAACCCAAAGCCAACAAAAGCAAGATCTTTCTGAAGCCCGATAGTACTTCCCTCAACCTTGTTCCCATGAAGCCCCAAAAGCCCTTCCAAAATCCCAGAAATGGAAATTCACACACCCAAGCAGCCCTGAACCCTAAACCCTTCAAGAAACCTCGTATGGAATCCTTTTTCCATAAAGCCCCAAAGGCCATGAACCGTACACCCTAAACCCGAAATCCTAGACCCCACATCCTAAACTCTAAACCCTATAAAACCTCAAACCCTACAATACCCTAAACCGTAAGCCCTAAACCCCAACTCAGACCCCCGGGAGGATCCAAAAAGTAGATCCCTGAATGGGGATGAGGGTCTGGAAATCCCTAAACCCCTTAAGGCCCTGACGGCCTCCTCCACGGTTTTTGCAGCCCCTGAGGCCGGCAACGTGCAGCAGGCGAACATCCCGGAGGTCCCTTTCCGGGCCTTTTAGGGTTTAGGGCTCCTTGAAAGGAGCCCTTAAAGGAGCCCTTAAGGGAACACTTAAAGGATCCTAAGGTTCTGGGTTTAGGGTTGAGGGTTTAGGGAATGTAGAATTTGTTCTTTGTTTATAGTACCCTAGGGCTCTTTTGTGTAGATCTTTTTTCGGATGTTGAGAAGGTTTTGCAGGGATTTTACAGGTTGGTTTTGTTTTTCTGCGCCTTAATAGGTACAGGGCCTTAGTAATTCGAATACCACATCGGGATTAAGGAATTTGCGGGAATTGTATTTCTAATACATCAGGTTTCTATATCAAGGCTGTTTGGTTTAGGGTTATGGATTTAGGATTCAAGGAGGGCTTTTCCGGGGGCTATGTTGTACTTTCATGTTTTGAAGGGCTTGCATGCGGTTAGCAAAGGTTGTTTTGCAGGGTTTCGGGGTCTAGAAGGGTTGTCTTCTTGACATACGGTTGTAGTACATTTTGATAGTGCCGGTTTTATGCGGGACTTGATACGGGTTTAGAGACTTGCACGGGTCACGGAAGGTTCTAGGGTTATGTAACGTTTGTTGGGTGGTTTGCAACTGTTTAAATATAATGTTGAGAGTAAGAAATCAAGCTATGTGAAAGTATGAACCTTCATATTATAATTTACACACGACCTATCCCAAGCATGTCTTAGTTTTCAGGCGAAAGTTGCAGCGAGGTAGCTTGTGGTGGGTTTTCCATGGCTCAAGGTTTATACGGTTTAATAGAGGTTCATAGGTTCAACAGAAGCTTGTTACAGGGATTCTGCAAAGTTTGACCGCGCTTCAGGTTCAAATTGGAGCTTAGATTGTGATGAGTTGGGCGTCCCAATGACGTTTTACAAGGCTTTCACTCCAACCCTAAACCCGGAACCCTAAACTGTTTCTATAAGGGCTCAAAGAAAGTTCAACAAGGGCTCCTCGAGGGTTTTTCGGGGCTCGGGCCTCTGTACATTGCACCATCAGCAGGCCCTACTTAAAGGCTCCGGGCGCAAACAAAGTCCCGTGAGCATTTAAGTAGACTACCCACGCCCCGCAGTTTGAACTTCGGGTTTTAGGATATAGGGTGCCCGGGATCCGACAACAAAGTCTAGTCACTGTTACAGGGTGGGGGCAGCTTCTAAGGAATTTCAATCAAGTGGCAAGTGGTAACAGGACTTCCAGAGCCTGTGTAGAACCCTGCCCATATACCGCTACAAGTGCTAAGGCAGCCCTACCTCTACAGCGAACCCCAGAAAGTGACATGGGTTTGGGATGATTGGTGCTTGGATCCCTTATGCTTTGCCGTAAGGGTTGAGGATTATAATGTTCCAACTTTATGGCTTCTACTATACTTGCCCTTGCTCGGCAGCCTCGAACCCCAAGCCCTAAACCCTTAAAACCCTTAACAACCCAAACTTGTACCTCCAAGATCAGGCAATGTTCAAATCCCAGCCAAGCAGGAAATCGGGATTCCTCTCGGAAGTCTTGACGTCTTTGAAAGGTTGCTAAGGGCTTCTTATTGAGTTTTATGTAAGCTAGCAGTTCGGGATAGGTATAGGTAGCGATGCCCGCGTAATGCTTCGTTATCGAGTCACTGTATCTTTTTGTAACACCTTTATCCAAGCCCCTAAACCTTAAACTCCCTAAAGCCCCAGCCCTTGACCTCACACCCCTGATCTCAAATCCAAACTCCGACAATTGCCGGGCCAGGTGGTGAAGGAGCGGGAGAAGCTGAAGGCGTCTTTGCACTGCATGCAGGGGTTAGTCTACTCAGAGAGAGACAACAACCATTAGTCAGGAAATATTGGTTAAAGCATCACATGAGGCCCTTCATGATTTAAAGTATATCCCTTAATTCAGGGATATTGGGCTCTCTAGGTACATCTGGGTTCCGTAGCGTACTTCTTAAGTAGGTTGTAGGTCGACCCCACCCCCCCTAAACCCTAAACCCTAAACCCCAAACCCTAAACCGACTTCTTTGACGGCTTTCATCGGGTCCCAATAGGGGTCCAGGCGTTTAGGCTCTCAGGCTCTTGGATGGAAGTGAACCCTCAGGCGCTCCCTCCCATGGGCCTTTGAGTAAATCCTGCTTTGCCTTGAAAGCATTCGCATCCGGAGGAAGGGTTGCGTCCGAAGCTCCCTATTCAAGCAGTATACCTGAACTTGCAGGGGAATATCCTCGATGAGAGTTGGAGGTCAATTCTTCGGTTGCTGGATTCCGAAGTTTCTGTGGAGTTACTGATAGCCTACATCCCCAAAGCCTAAAGCCCTAAGCCCTAAACCCTAAACGTCAAACCCGAAAACCTAAAAGCCCTAAACCTTGAACCGGGGATGTTGCAGGTTCTGTCGGATGGAACCTCCCCGATTGGAATAATTTTTTTGTGCTGCTGTGAATAATCAGAGCGATACTGACCGTGAGAATGATGATCATGGTCGATAGTATTAGGAACCAGTTGCCTAAGCCTTAAACCCTGAACCCTAAACCCTAAACCCTGGGTACGGCTCAAGCGATTGGTCTCTGCGCACCAACGTACCCTTGGCTCTCTCGTCCAACCTCACTCAGGTTGCACATCACCATGGCTCTTGTCCCGAAGGTCGCCGCTGGAAAGGCACGTCGGGTCATTCCAACTGGGTCGGCTCCGGCAACTGAAGCAGATTACAAACGAGCTGCAGGGCAGTGGCTTGACAGTTACCTGACCAGCTCGTTGGATCACACCATGACGGTCTCGGCGGCTGAGCTCGCAGCCATGGGAGGCACACTCAAAGACGAAAAGACAAAAGCCTTCCTCCCGCGTGCGTTGTTGATTGAAGACGCTTGGAGGGTCGGGGGACTTAGTAACTGGTTATTTTACGGAGTTATAAGTACCATAACCCCAATTAGGGTCCCTTTTAGAGTACTTATAAGTCTACTTACTACCTACTTACTAAGTCCCTGAACCCTAAACCCTACACCCTATAGTAACCCCTATAGAGCCCTTTAAAGGAACCCTTATAATCCCCTTTAAAGGAGCCCCCTAAGTCCTCCGACCCTCCAAGCGAGGGAGGCCTCTAAGGCCTGGAGACTCATCGTTTTCCTTACGCACGTCACGTCCGTTTTCTCTGCATTCTTTGCCCTTAACCCTAAACCCTTAACCCTAAACCCTGAATCCTAAACCTAAAGCCTTGACCCTGAAGCCTAAAGCCTTAAAGCCCTGAACCCTAAACCCTAAACCCTAAAGCTCCAGTCGTTCCTTGGGCAGGTGGCCTGCGGCTTCGCTCGCTGGCAGACGAACCAGCACGAGCCTGGGCTCAACCTCGGGGTTTAGGTTGGGTTAGCCTCAAAACTGCACAAATGTAGCCGGAAAGAGCCACGCTTGCAGGGTTCTAGGGCTTAGGTTTTAGGGTTTAGGTTTTAGGATGAACTTTGTCATAGCTGGGTAACATTTTGTATTTTGATGGGTACTTAAAAACCCAGTAAGGAATAGAGATGTGTATTTTAAACCCTATTCCAACCATGAACAAGTAAAGGAGCCTTCAAAGGAACCCTTAGCCTTAAAAGGAGCCAAACAAACAGAACTCTTAGCCATAAACGAAACCCTAAAGCCCTGAACGAGCCCTTAAAGGATAACCCTATAAAGGAAGTAAACTGGGTTCTTGTTAAGGAACTTAATTTAAGTTACCATAATAAGGAAACCCTATTATTTACGATAGATCCCTATTATGGTAACTTAAATTAAGTTCCTTAACAAGAACCCAGTAAAGGAATCTTTAAATGAACCTGAGAAGGAACCTCTAAGGGTTGCTGGTCCTTTCAGGGGCTCAGGGCTCAGGGCTTTGGGCTTCGAGTTTTTGGGTTTAGGGCTTTGGGCCTCGAGTTTCGGGCTTTTGGGGGTGGTTTAGGGCTTTGGGGCTTGCTTGGAGTTTAGGGCTTGAGGGGCTTCGGGTTTCGGGCTTTGAGGGTTTAGGGTTTTGGGTTTAGGGTTTCGGGGTCTAGGGGGTTGAAGGTTGAGGGTTCTGGATTTAGCTCGGATGCTCAGTGCTCAGAGTTGTTCCTATCATGGCGATGATGATGCTGATGATGCTGATGATGCTGATGATAATGGTGTACTTGTCAGTCGTTGTTTACTTGCTGCTCTGTAAGTGTAACTTTTGTTTTTGAATGTTCGGAGGTCTTGTAGCCAGTCTAGAGGGATTTGGATGTGGTTTAGGCTTTCGGGGTTTGTTGTTCATCCGTGGGCAACAATAAAGATAAGTGAAAAGCAGTTTGATAGTAGCAGTAAGAACCAACGAAATGCTGCAAAGCATCAGAATTATGCGAACAATGCCAGTCAGAAGAAGACTGACTGATCGAAGCAGCAGGTTATAACTAGGATGGCCCCACTCAGTGGACTTATCACGCCAATTATAACCTACTTATTACGTCCCATGTTCCTTGAAGTAACCTAACCCCCCTTTTAGAAACCTTATAGATCCCTTAAAGGAGCCTTTTAAGGAACCCTAGTTCCTAAGTCCAGTGAGCCTCCAAGTAGCTTCTTGGGTCATCCTTGAAGCTTTTTACGGCACTGAAGTGCTGATGATCCTTTAAGTACTATGACAAGCAAATGCCCAACTTCCAGGAGTTTCCTGCATTTCTGGGCCAGCAGCGCCGAGCGCTCTATTGGCCCCGGGGGGGTGGGGGGTCGCTTTCGCGGGCTTAGTGTTTGGGGCTTAGGGTTTTAGAGTTTTAGAGGTTTCGGGGTTTGGGAATAAGGGCTCGGGGTTTAGTGTTTGGGATTTTGGGTTTAGGGCTTAGGGTTTCGGGTTTGGGGCGTAGGGCTGGGGTCTTGCTGAATTGGAATGTAATGGAGGCTCGGGAATAGAAGCCACCTGACCGTTATTGAGCTTCTTTGTCAAGAGTGGTAGTAAACGCAAAGCCCTAAAGCATGAACCTTACTAAAGCCTAAACCCTAAACCATCAGCTCGTCTTTGGTAGGCTTCGATAGGCCGTATCCGCTGCACCCTGAGCCCTAAACCCTACGCTCTATGCCGGGTCTGGCACAAAAACAACATAATTAATATCAGATACTACAGTAACTATGGTATCAATATTATGCCCCAAAACTCCATAGTACACCATAATATACCATACTATACTACATTGTGCCGTTATATCTGATTATAATGTAGCGAGTCTTGGTCTTTGAAGCAGCTAGCCCCAAGCTGCAAGCTCGAGCGGCGGCTCGCGTTCAGGCGCTGTAGAACAGCCTGTGTCCGATCGATGGGACGTAGTAAGTAAAGTTGAAAAAACGTTATCGTGAGGATAACACCACTGACTTATCACCCCAATTGTAACCTACTTACTATGTCCCATGATCCTTTAATATAACCTCAACCCCTAAATCCTTAAAGGGAGCCCTATTATAGAACCCTATAGTACCCTTGGACGGAACCCCAAACCCTACTTTCTAAGTCCCATGATCCCTTTAAGTAACCTCATCTCCCCCTTGCAGAACCCTTATAGACTTATAGATCCCTTAAAGGAACCCTTTAAAGGAGCCCTAGGGTTTCTTACTAAGTCCCATGATCCTTTAAGCAGGCACAGGAACAGGCGGCGGATGAGGATCATCCGCCGGGCCTTGGCCACGGACCCATCCGCCTTGGGATGCCTTTCTTGGTGGCAGGTCGTGCATCCAACCCTAAGCCCTAAATGCCCTAAGCCGTATGATGCCTAATCCCTAAACTCCAAACCCTAAAGACTCTAAACCGTATAACTGGGTCACCTCTGCAAAGAACTGGGTTGTCCTTTGGGATCTTTTCAAATTTCCCTTACTAGTTTGTAGAGAACCGTAATAGGGAATGATTTTCAAAGGGCTTAAAGGACAACTCAGACTAAACCCTAAACTCCTACACCCTTAAGCCCAAAGCCTTAACCCAAAACCCAAACTCATGCAACCCCAAGCCCCCTCCGTGTTCTATTAATTGCCTAAATAATTACCACTACTATCTTGGGGGTTCCATAGTTAGTACGTATAGTTATAGTATGATGGGCCCGAAAACCCTATTCTAGCTAGTAAGGCACCTGTATCACAGAAGCCTATTATAGATCCCTTACAGACCCCTTTAAGGAACCCTTTGAAGGAACCTTTATTCTAATGAGTACTTAAAGGCTCCTGGGACTTAGTAAGTAAGGTTATAAGTAGGTTATAATTAGGATAACCCCACTTGGGGGACTTATAACCCCGTTTATAGCCTACTTACTAAGTCCCATGATCCTCTAAGTAAGGCCCCTATATCAAAGCGCCCCCCCCCCAAGCGCCTCTGCAATTTGTTCCGGAGGCTGGCGCCCAAGGTCGCGCACTCCTGCGACCCCAATGTGGGTTGGGAGGCCGGGGCCAGCGTTCAGGGTCTAATTTTCAGTTTTGTTTGTTATAGTTCAGTTTGTTTTTGCTTCAGTTAAACCAAACCTAGGATCAGGTGGCTCCATTGCTAATCCTAGTTTTGGGATGTCGGTCTTGGGGTGTAGGATTGAGGGTATGTCTTACCCGAAACCGTTGATGTCTAGGGAAAGCCCAGAGCCCGCAGGAGGCTGGTCCCGAGTTGTTTCAGGCTCTAGGGTAAAGCCTATGGCACCTCAACAGTTTGGGGTGCTTGGAGGGCCAGGGGATTTAGCAAGTAGGTGTTAAGCAGAGTTTTAGGTACCCTGAAAACGGGTCCTAGTTGTTGGAGCTACGTGTAAAGCTAGCTACTTATCAAGTCTCCCGACACTCCAAGTAAGCTCAGAGGGGTAAGGCTGTTGGGTTGAGGGCAAGAGTTAGTTCGTTAGGGTTCAGAGCCTCAGCAATCTTGAACCGGTGTCAATAGAGAAGTGCCATATGGGAGTTTCTTAATATAGGGGACCCTAATATAGTACCAAAAATAGTAGGATCCTTACTATAAGGACCCCCCAAAGAAGGTACCCCTAGTTTTGGCCATACTTCCTCGATTCAGCAACTTCTCCCATCAGCTACAAATTGGCAATAGCTACGACGCGTACGGTGTATATACGACAAAAACACCACCTTGACATCTGGTTAGCATTGCAGGTTTTCAACTCACTATTTACTGCTTCAACTACGACAACATGTACATTTCTTGCATGGTCATCGTACGTTGTCACCCTGAACAATGGCAGCCCGGATTCGCACCTGACGAGGCGGTAAGACTGGCACGAATGTAGGGGTCTAACAAGTTACCAAACACTATTTTTTGGGGGGGTTCATCATTATAATGATAGTATCATATACGACAAAACCCTGTTCTAATTATTAAGGCCCTTATATTACCAAGCCTGAAGCCTTCTTGCGTCGCAATCATTGGCGACAGGCGTTCTCGTCCCCCCGTTTGTACACCATAGCATACGATTAAAAGGCCTGTTGAGGCCGGCGGAGTGGCCAGTGGTGGCAAGCACGCGGCTTGTGCACCCTTCGAACCAACATCCTTTTGGATCTATGGGGAACGACCTTGGTAAGGCATTGCAAGGTGCCGCTGATGCCGTCAACAGCTCAGGACAGCAAGGCCAGCTGCCGTTCCCGAATGCATGGCCGAGTGGCGTGAACTCAGGGCATGCATTCCCCCCAGCCCCGCCCCAGCAGCAATGGGATGCCAATGACCGGTTTTGTTCTCGTGCAACAGCCTTGGAAGTCGTGCAAACGTGGAGAACGAAGGAGGACATCATCGGCAATTGCTGTGTGCTTGAGCGTGCGGGCGGTGGCCTGCAGGTGGAGTTGACGTGCACCGAACACGTCGCATGTCTTGTGTGTTGGATGCGTAGCGTTTCTGAGAAAGATTCTGCTAGACAGAAGGAGAAGACAGCGAACACTCTGGAAAGCTTGAAGCTTGAACGGGGCTTCCTGGATTTTGGGGTTTAGGTTTTCTAGGTCGCTCAGTCGCACTCGCATACCTCTTTCGTGGGAGAGGTAGCCCTAAACCCACTGAAGCCCTCAACACGAAGCCCAGAACGGAGACTTTAAGGCCTTAATCCCAAAACACCATAGGCCATAAGCCCGCTAGAATTCACCCACAAAAGAGGCCAAACGCCCCGAGCCCTATCTCCCTAAACACACCAAAAGCCTCAAACAAAAACGCTGCTAACCCGAGCAACCCTAATAAGGGCCCTAGCCAAACCCATCATCCTCAAAAGCCTGAAGCCCTAGACCCCAAACTCTACACCGTAAAGACTAAGAAGGCATGCTGAGCCCTACCCTAAGCTGCCATGACCTGCTGTTTAGAGTTTTATAGGGACCGTACCAGTACAAAGAAGTAGGTTTTGGTAGGTTATCCCTAAACTCTAAACCTAAACCCTAAACCCTAAATCCTAAACCTTAAAACAAAAAAGTAGGTTTTGGTAGGTGAATGAAGGCAGACCCTTAAGTCGAAACCCGGACACAGGACCCCCGAAAGACTGGGCTGTTCAGGGTTTAGGGTTTAGGGTTGGGTTCTTGATAAAGAATTTAATTGGGTGGTTGTCAAAATTAGGGTCCCTTTTTGGGTCCCCAATATAGTACGGCACCTAATATTTAGGGTACCCAAAAAGCGACCATAATTTTGACAACTACCCAATTCAAGTTACCATAGTTAAGAACTATCGATAGTAAATAATGTGGCTTCCTTATTATGGTAACTTAAGTTAAAACTCTTGTAACGGAACCCTTGTAGATCCCTTAACGGAACCCTTATACATTATATATCCTCCTGGTGGTATCTCAAACAAATCCCTTAAACACACCCCAAACCCTAAATCCTAAACCCTAAACCCTAAATCCTAAACCCTAAACCCTAACCCCATGTGGAGGTTACTGAGCCGCCAGAGGAGATCTTGGGCTTGTTTGTGGAGTACCCGGACGAACCTGCATCCTCACCTACTACACCGAACACTCGCATGCTGGACAGGGCCTTCGAAGGGTTACAGACCTCGGATGAGGAGTGAGAGCAAGTTTGACTGACTCGAAGTACTACAAGAGTGGTCGTGGGTTGTGAGTTGGCTGAGAGTTCAAGCACCACTGAAAGCGGTGGGTGCTGCCTTTGCCGGTCTCCTTGGGAGACTTCCGCCTCAGACTCTGCAGACGGAAAAGGGCCCTTAAAAAAAAAAAAACCCCAAACCCCAAAACCCTAAATCCTAAACCCCAAACCCTAAACCCCAAAACCCCAAACCCTAAACCCCAAACCCTAAACCCTAAACCCTAAACCCTACACCCCAAACCCTAAACCCCAAACCCCAACTCCCAACTCCCCTTTAACAAGAGCCCCGGAAGATGCCTCGCAAGGATCCTTCGGAGGATGGGCGCGTGGAGCTGCGGGCCCTCCGGAGGACTCCCTGGGCTGAATCCTACTTAGAGGATCATGGGACTTAGTAAGTAGGTTATAAATGGGGTTATAAGTCCCCTAAGTGGGGTTATCCTAATTATAACCTACTTATAACCTTACTTACTAAGTCCCATGAGCCTTCAAGTACTTAAGTCAAAGGGGAAAAGGAGGGACCCTTTAAAGGGGATCTATAGGGATTCTATAAAGGTATAGGTATAGGGCATAAGGGTATAGGTATAGGGATTCTATAAGGGTATAGGGTTTAGGGTTTAGGGGTTTGGGTGTTTAGGGGGTTTAGGGGAAAAGGAGGAACCCTTAATGGTGACCCCTACCCTATAATGGGCTTCAAGGCTCATGGGACTTAGCAAGTACCTGGGGATCCAAAAACCTACCGTTTTAAGGGTCAGACCCTCCGATTAAATGGTCACCTACTATTTTGTAGGGTTCGGAGTCACAGGTAAGGTTTAGGGTTCCTTTTTAAGGGTACTAATAGGGTTCTACAATAGGGTTCCTTTTAAGGGTTTAGGGTTTAGGGTCTACTTGAAGTTAAAGGCTCATGGGACTTAGTAAGTAAGGTTATAAGAAGCTTATAAGTGGGATAACCCCACATACGGGACTTACAAGCCCGAGTTGTAACCTACGTGCTAAGTCCCATGATCCTCTAAGTGAGAGTTCGAGGGCTTTGGGGCTTGGGATTTCGGGTTTTCCAGGTTTCTGGGATTTTGGTTTTGGAGTTTGGGATCTTCGGTGGTTTAGAGTCTTACGGTTGCGTGGGTCGGGTCTAGATTTCAAGGTTGCAAACCTTAAACCCTAAACCCTAAGACGTTCCCTAGAAGCCCAGCACCCTAAGTAAACCCTAAGAGATGTAAACCCCAATTCCCACACCTTAAGCCTTAAGCCTCTCTAAAGCTTTGGAACCCCAAATCCAAAACCCGAAGCAATTTACAGTCCAAGGTTCCCTCAACCCTAAACCCTAAACCTTAAACCCTAAACCCTAACCCTAAACCCTAAACCCTATTCTTATCAGACCCTGAGCTCCAATCCCAAAAAGCCCCGGAATCTTTTTGGAGACCCTCTTTACTATGCATATGAGAGTTTCCGAAAATTAGGGGTACCTCATTTTGGGGGTCCTTACAATGAGGGTCCTACCATATTGGGTACTAATAAAGAGTTTTGGAGACCCTCTCTACTACAGTAGAAGCCTAAAAGTTAAGGTAGGGTTCAGGGTTTTTAGAGTTCCTTTTAAGGGCTCCTTTCACGGATATAGAGGGTTTATAGTAGAAGCCCTAAAAGTTGGAAACCCTACAGCCTCAATCCCTAAGACTAATGTATAGGGAATCCCAGCACTATTTGGCCTTAATTCGGTTTCCAACTTTATGGGGTTTACTGTATACATACGGCTGTACAAACACGCATATGAATATATGGTTGTAACATGCATACATTCGCACATGCACATATATCTGCATACACACATATGTATATATACCCTAAACCCTAAACCCTAAACCCTAATCCCTAAACCCTGTATACACATATACATAATATTATGGGTCCGTGGACTGATTTTGTTGCGCAGTTGCCAATTCCTAAATCCTAGTCCCTAAATCTTAGTTCCTAAATGCTAGATCCTAGCTCCTAAATCCCTAAATCCTAAATCTAAACTCATAGTTCTTGAATCTTAAATATACCACATCCTAATGGCCCTGCTTCTAGCAGTTTTAAAGTTTAAGGTTCAGAGTTTAGGGGTTTAGGTGTTCCTGCAGCCATTTTCATTCGAAAACAGCGGTGCGACAACAGCTTTAATCAGGTCCACCCGATCATTTGCTACAGATTCCTGTTCAGATAACTTAAGTTAAACTCCCTTTTGCTGAGCCCAGAAGGTTTCAGCAGATCTACTTTTGTCACAAAGCAAAATTCTACAGCCTAGCAAAGCTGCGCTTCTGCAAAAAGGGGTCGCCCCTTAACAAGTCTCAGCTTCAGGGTGAGGGTTCAGTGTTTTGGGGTTTAGGGTTTAGGGTTTAGGGTTTAGGTTGTATGGATTAGGAGTTCGAGCTAGGGCATAGATTGTATGGTTTAGGGCTAATGTAGGAACCTGATTAAGAAACCCTGGCTTATAACACCCGAAATGGTAGGATTCATACAAGGAACTCTAATAAAGGCCCAAGTTTCTTAATCAACTCCATGAGGGTGAAGTGCCTAGGAGTTAGGATGATTCCCTCTGCCAGGATTGCTTCGGGAGAGGCCGGGCCATCATATGTGCCGGGGCGGGGTTCTTTGTTTCGGACAGAGATGGGATGAGGAAGTCAGCATCGTGAAGTTCAGAGATTTTTTGGGAATCTCCTGGTTCTACAGCTTCTTTTCGATTTGTTGCCGTGCGGCTTTTTTGGGGGGTGTTGGTCTGACAGACGGAGCCTTGAATTAGGCCTTCCGGTAGCCACCCTTTGTGCATTTTGGGTCTCCTTCTCTTGATCGAGGAAGGTTTAGGGTTTAGAGGCTTCTTCTCATGTCAGTGGGGAACCCTATCCAGGGTAATACAGAGAACTGAATAATGAGCCGATTATTCCTTGTTATAACTATGGTTCACCTTACCACAATTAGGATGTCCTTAAGGGGGGGTGGTCCAAGGGGGGTAGGTAACCTAGTAATCCCCATTATTCCCCAATACTCCCTAAGCTTCCCTAAGGTTCCCCAAAGCTCCCTAGTACCCTCCCCCCTTGAACCACCCCCCCTTAAGGATCCTATAACACAAAGCCTTTTTCTAAGAAAGGCCCGTGAGCCCTGGCTTAAAGAACCCTTATAGAACCCATAAGAGCATCCTTCTAAAGGAATCTTATTCTAATTCCCATGGCGCTGGTATTCTTCAAACATTCAAACTTCAAAGACCAAACTTAGGGCTCAATCGTCGTAATGTAGGAGCCTTAATAATTAGAATAGTGTTTTTGTTGGGTTCCGTTTTATAGTTATAGTATAATATCACCCAAGCCCTATTCTAATTACTACGGCCCCTACATAAAAGGTTGAGTATGGCTTGAAAGGCTGTGCCAGCGCTGGCGGGATCGTTTTGAAGATCAAGCTACCACGTCATTGGATGTTATTTTCTAACATCAAATTAAGTTGAGCCGACTGGCCTTTCCGATAGCAGGTGAGCACATAAACATGTCCAACATCATGGGCATGCTCACCACGCAGTGGCTATGCAGAGCGTATACTCTCGTGGGGACGCATCTGCAGGCTGCTTGCCGCGGATGGCTTATAGGATTTGCGAAGCTTTCTTTGCAGTGCCTCCTTTCCTGGATCCTGCCATGCAGCCGCAAACACCACCGGGAGCAGGTCTTCTCAACGCAGCGGCGATGCAGCCACCAGCGTGGGGCCGGCATGCACCCACAACGCCGCCTGAGCTCCTGATGCAGCCGCGCACGCCTCCCGTGGTAGGTGTCATCGTACTCCAAACATACGCATCGCACTACAGGAAGGATTGCCTGAAGCTATTACATAAATTTTTTTCATGAGATTTTGTTTTGTTAAGCCGGCCCTGGACCATACGCCCCAGACCCTTCTCTCTCTAGTCAAGTCCCTGGAAGGTTTTGCGCTTCGGGTTTAGGGTTTAAGCTGTAGTGTTCAGGGTTTAGGGCCTAGGTTTTTCAGGCTTTAGGGCTTAGGCTTGAGGGTTTAGGCGTTTAGTCCCTGGAAGGTTCTGGGCGTGAATTACATGAACCAGAGCTTTCTGCTACAGCCTGTGGAGGCCACCTGCGGCTTAGGGTTTACAGGGTTACGTAGCCTTCCGGTATTTTTCAACCGTAAGCCCTAAGCCCTAAATTTTGTCCCTAAATCCCAAGCCTTTGGGGGGGTTCGGGTTTGGGGATTTGAGATTCCTAGGCCCTATAGGGTGAGCTTGGGGTCTGTAATATGCAAAGGACGTGCTCTTGCAAGGATCCCAGAAATGGACGCTGGTTTTGGTTTTGGGTTCAGGGTTTAGGGTCCATATTCTGGACACGGCCCCTAAGCCGTAAACCCTAAACATTCAACAACAACGGGCCTGCTCGAAATCCAAAGAGGATTTGAAGGATTTTCACAGGGCTTGTGTTGATTTTCGCTTTGACTCGAAGGCCTTGATATACTACTATTTGCTTAAGAACCCCCAAAAAATAAAAAATATATATTCCTTATAGGTATAATATAGGGATTATATTTTTTATTTTTTGGGTGGGGTTCTTAAGCAAATAGTAGTATAGGGACCTAAGTAATTACCAATACTAGTTTGTGGGTTCCTTATGAAAATTATAGTATAATGGGCCCATTCTAATTTAAGGAGCCCGCTGTTTATGCAGTGCTTCGGGGTGTCAGGGTTTGCAGTTCGAATCCTTAACAGACAGTTGGAAGGCTCCAGGAAGCTTGTATGGGGATAAAGGTTATTTAGGGTCGAAGGTTTGTGGGTTCATGAGGGTTTAGGCCCGAAGCCCTCATAAACCCACAAACCCCCGACCCCTAATCACCATTTTAGGCAAGGTGTATATTCAAACGTCGTGGGTTCACGAGATTCCTAAACCCTAAACCCCTAAACCCTAAACCCTAAACCCCTAAACCCTAAACCCCTAAACCCCTAAACCCTAAACCCTAAGCCCTAAGCCCGAACCTTCAACAAACCTTGGCCTTGAACCCCAAACTCAAAGCCTACTCAAAACCTTAAACTGAGTCGCAATACTCTAAGAGGTTTCTTGTAAGTACTCGTTTCAAACTTGGGTTTCGAGTTTAGGGGTTAGGTTTTAGGGCTTATATGGGTTTAGGGTTTTAGGGTGCGCTTGGAAGGGGTCTTCATCAGAATGAGAAATCTTGCTTTTTCAGGCACGTCGCTCGCAGCTTCTGAGGGAGAGGAAGTTCCACTGCGCCGCTCGGGCTGCTGATCCCCATTGGGCTGAGTTTAGCCTGTAGGCTTATCTTGAATTCATAGCCCCTTCTCCTGGTTGGGATAGGTTATCAACGGGAGCCTAGTGTAGAAGCCTGCACGAGCACCGAAGTGACTATTAACATTTGGCTACATTTGGCTTGGGCCGGCAAAGAGCTCTGTTAAGCCACTGTATCTCAGAGCCCCTTAAGCAAGGAAAAGATTTCAAGCCACCCGACTAAGTCCCTATATTGTTTTCCTGAAGTCAGAAAATATGGGAAGTTGTAGGGTTTAAAGTTTAGGGGTTCAGGGGTTTAGAGTTTAGGGGTTTGGGGTTTGTGGGCTTAGGGGTTTATGGCTCAAGGTTTAAGGGTTTGGTGTTTAGGGTGTAGGGTGTGGGGTGCATCTCAGAGCCGCCCTACTCAAACACATCACAGAGACTCCAAATCACTTACTTGACACACGGGCGCTTCTTAAAACCAATCGCATTTTAATGTCTTTTGTTTTAATTGTTTAGGGCGCGATAGGCTTGTAGATTCTTGTTCCTGTAGTAGGACTGCGTAGCACCTGTCCTTGATCAGTATGTCTACACACCGTAAGCCCTAAGCCCTACGCCCTAAGCAGCTTTCTCCACATGTCCTTTAGAGAACTCTCGAACTCGCTTACAATTTTTTGACCGACTTGATAAGACAGGATCCGCCAAAGCCCTAAGCCCTGAACCTACTTAAAGGTTCATGGGACGCAATAACTAGGGTTATAGACGAAGCAACTATACTTGTACCCCCCCTGAAGGTATTTATAACCTCACTTCCGACGTCCTACGATCCTACAAGCAAACCCTAAACTCTGAGCCCAAGGCACTGTAGAGTTCAGGTTTAAGGGTCAAAAGTCATCCTAAACCCTAAACTCTAAACCCATAAACCACCAAGGCCCCTAAAGAAAGATCTTTCTCGTTGTCAAGATGATTCTGCGATGGTTCTCATCTTCGGGCTCGGCAGATAAGCTTGAACCGGTAGTATCCCAGAGAGCCCAATACCCCTTAATGAAGGAATCTACCTCAGATTTCGATGGCTTCCACTACCCCTTAGTTAAGGAATCGACCTTAAATGATAAGTTGCTTCATATGATGATTTAAGCCATAACCCTTCATTAAGGGACATTGCGCTCTCTGGGACTATCGCTTCGCGACAGGTCTCTTATTCAGGAAGCGCAAAGCCTAAACTCCTAAACCTCACCGCTAAACCCTAAACCCTAAGCCTCAACTCCTAAACCTCATTAAACCCAGAGCCTGAAGAGCCTAGTCTTGCAAGCTTTCTCCTTAGGGAGCCCCGAATTCCCTTTAAAGCAGGAATATGGCCTCAAGTCAGGTTTCCTTTGAGGGCTCCTTTAAAAGATTTTATAGGGACCCCTTGATTTAAGGACTACGACTTAATTAAATCAAAACATGGAGCCCCAGTATAGTTTGAGGTCTATCACTTCATTAAGGGGTGTTGGGCTCCCGAAATCCCGAAACCCTAAACCCTAAACTCTGTACCCTAAACCCTAAACTCCGCACCCACCCTAAACTCTGTGACCTAAACCCTAAAACCTAAACTCTCTGTACCCTGAACCCTAAACCCTAAGACCTAAACTCTCTACCCTAAACCCTAAACGCTGGCTCATCTCGGCCTTCCCCAGGTTTGCCAGCGTTGCGTGAAGGAATCCGAGCGCCTCGGCTGAGGTGCTTAAAGGCTCATGGGACTTAGTAAGAAACCCTAGGGTTCCTTTCACGGGCTCCTTTAAAGGGCTCTATAAGTCTATAGTAGGAAAGGGTTCCTTGAGGGTTTAGGGTTTAGGGATCTATAATTGAAACGCTGCGCGTCGTCCGCCTCGGCCCGGCTGTACGGGCATGCGGCGAGTGGCTAGTATCTGCAGCAAGCTGGTTAGGTCTTCGGTAAAACAGACTTTTGGTCTCAGAAACAGACTTGTAACACCAGGAACAGATATTCACGCTCACAAACAAATAAAGGGTTTGAGGGTCTTCGGGTTTAGTGGTTGAGGGGTTTAGGGTTGGGGGTTTTGGGCCCTAAGATGTAGGGGTCTAAGGGTCGAGGCTTAGGGGGTTCAGGGTTTTGGATTTTAGGGTTTAGGGCTTTAGGGTTTTGGGGTTGAGGGCTCTAGGGTTTTGGGGACTAGGCTGAGGGCTTGAGGGGTTTTGGGGTTTGGGGCCGTTAGGTTTGCGGGTCTGGGGCCTAGGCTTACGTGCGTTCAGGTAGATCTGGCGATGCGTCTGGTGTAGCATCAGACGCAAGCAACTGAAGGAAGCTGTGCAGGGCAGTCGGCCTGCAGATGGAAAAGGAAAGCGACAGCTTTGCTGACAGTCACAGCCATGCAAAGAAGCATACGTCAGCAAGGTTGCGGAGTGCGTCAATGACATTGTCACTCAGGACGCAGATGGTAAGGTATCCTACAGTGTCCCTGGCACAGTGGAGTTGGTTGATGAGGGCGACAAAGTCGACCCCATCCCATCGTCGATGGGCAGAGTCATGGCGCCCGCGGCACCCAAGAAGACCAAAAGGTCTGACCGCGATGAGGACGCCATGAGAAGGTTCATGTTCAATGATACTGCAGTATAATATCATTGACCAAAACCCTACCACTTAGTATCAGCCTTGGAACTAAGCCCACGCCTAAAACCCTAAACCCCTAAACCCTAAGCCTAAACCTGCAACCCTAAGCCCAAGCCTTAAACCCTCGAAGCTTGAGGGGTTCCAAACGCAGAGTCGCACCCGGAAGCCGTAAACTTCGACCGCCACAACGACAAATTCCAAGACGAATCCTTGTAGAACCGCTTTAGAATGTAGAGACCTGACCGGAACCTCTACGAAACACTTGTCTATTTAACCACAAGAACTTTGCAGGGATGCCCCTACCTTATTGGGCTCCATTATAAGGTGATGTATATACAGGATGTCCCTATGGTAATGTTTGCTTATGTGCTTTTTAATGCCTCATTCATACCACTACGGTCTGACTCAGTCTCTCGGGGACCTGTTACATCTTTTTTCACGGTCGCAAAGCACACAGCCTGTTCTGAGAGAAGCTGCTGGTCCAGCTCACGTCAAACGGCCTGACGCAGAAAAGTGTTTTCCACTTATATAGGGTTAAGGGGTTTAGGGGGTCCGATATATACGTTGTTGTGAAGAGTGGAGAAAAAAGTTTCTATTTAGGGTTTACGAGTTTAGGGTTTGAGGTTTTGTATACGTTGTTGCAAAAGCTGGGTCTATCAATGAGGGTTCCATTTAGGGGGATAAGGTGTAAAGTAGAGTTTACGGGCTTAGGGCTTCAAGTTTAGGTTTCTTGATGTTTCAACTCTTTAAGCTTTATAAGTTTTCAACGCTTAGTTAGGGCCCTAATGTACAGATGGCAAAAACTGAAACCCGCCCTGGACCTTAAACCCTAAACTCCTCAAGCCTGGACCTGCCAGGGTTCATTGCAGTCCTTGTGGTTTGGGGGTTTAGGGTTTAGGGTTCAGTGTTGATATCTGCTTAGCTCGACAAGCTGCCGCGCAAAAGCCCCAACACATAAAGATGCTACATTGCAGTCCCGTGTCGTCGAAAACTCCACAAAACTCGCACCTGTCAGCGAGCGGAGAAGGGGCGGGAGGGAAGGGAGGAGGAGAGAAAGCGAGGGCGGGGGGAGGGGAAGAGGGGAAGGGGGGGGAGGGCGGGGGGGGGAGTGGGGGGGGGGGGGGGGGGGGGGGGGGGGGGGGGGGGGGCCAGAGGTCGAGGATGAGCGCGGAGCGGGAAGGCAGAAACGAAGAAAATTGGGTGGGACTGTGCACGTTTCCATTTTTTTGGGGGGGTGGGGGGGTGTGGGGGGGGGGTGGGGTCACTGGGGAGGGGATTAAGAGGTGGGGAAGAAAGGAATCCGAATAAAGGTTCTGTCAGGGTAGAGGATCATGGGACTTAGTAAGTAGGTTATAAATAGGGTTATAAGTCCCCTAAGTGGGGTTATCCTAAATTTAACCTACTTATACCCTTACTTACTAAGTCCCAGGAGCCTTTAAGTAGGGTCGGGTTTTGGTGGGGCTTAGCATTACGGTCCTAGCTAGTATTGAGGTTTAGGGTTTTGGAGGTTTAGGGTATTAAGGTGTAGGGTTTTAGGGTTTTAGGGTTCAGGGTTTAGGGTTTTGGGGTTTTTGGGGTTCAGGGTTTTGGGGTTTTTGGGGTTTAGGATTTTGGGGTTTTTGGGGTTTAGGGTTTTGGGTTTTTGGGGTTTAGGGTTTTGGGGTTTTTGGGTTTAGGGTTTTGGGTTTACGGTCCTAGGTGGAATTAGGGAGACCCCTTAAAGGGGACCCTTCTTCACCCTACTTCTGGCCCTCTTAAAAGGGACCTTATTGAGAGGGTTTGTATCCCCAGGGATCCCCCCGGGGCCTAATCCTAACTCCTATACAGATTTAACAGTTTGGCGTTTAGGGTTTAGGGTTGGGTTGAGGATGTTGGGTTTTGAGTCTGCAGATTTGTGTTTTGGGCGGTTTCACAGCTGGAAGGAGCCAGGTTTGTATCAATGCCACTGCGATAGTAAGACCTGACCCTGAACCCTGAGCCGTCAAACCTAATAGTTAAACCCTAAACCCTGAACCTAAGCCCCAAACCCTATACCCTAAACCCTAAACCCTAAGCCCTAAGCCCTATGTTGCCTGAATATGAACTGACACTGTTCCATGGGGATCCTTAGTAACTATTGTGAATGCCGTTTTGTAACACCCCAATCCAAATCCTGAATCCTCAACCCTAAACCATAAGCCCAAACCATAAGCCCTAAACCTTAAGCCATAGACCTTAAGCCCTAGACCTTACGCCCTAAACCTTAAGCCCTAAACCCTAAACCCTACACCCCAAACCCTAAATCGTTAAGACCCTCCTGAACTAAGGTCGGGCATCGAAGCGCCCAGAGGCAACAGCAGACTTCTGTCGGGGCGGTGAGTTAGATTTTCTGCCAGGGCCTGGAGATAGGGCTTTATGGTTCAGGGTTCCTTGAAGGGTGTAGGGTTTTCGGCTCCTGTAAGGGCTTAGGTTTCCTGAAAGGGTTTAGGGTTTAGAGAACTAGAGGGTTCAGATGACGTGATCAGGTTTGCCGGCTGTGTGAGCACAACCTGTTAATTGAGGAAAAAGATTTCGTACCATATTGAAGATTGCGGCGTTATAGTTGAAGGTGTGCTCCTTGTTTCGTTTTTTTGATTTCGGGTTTAGGCTTTAGGGGCAGCCAGGATTGAAAGCCCGAAGCAGGTGCTTTGGCAGCCGCTCGGGAAGAATGTAGCGACCTGGAGGCAGGAGTAAGTGGCAAGCTTTAAGGACTATTCTAGTCGCCATCGGAGGCGTCAGATTCAGATGATCTGCATAATCGCACCAAAACCCAAAACCCTAAACCCTAAACCCTAAACCCTAAACCTTAAACCTTAAACCCCAAAACCCCAAAACCCAACACCCCAAAACCCTGAAGGCTTAAAGCCGCAAAGCTTCGCTGAGCCAAGATTAGCAACCCGGGGTTGGGTTAGGGGTTGAATTGGCCTTACTTTAAAGGGTCTTAGGGTTCCTTTTAAGGGCACTATATAGGGTTTTCCTTTTAAGGGTTTAGGGTTTAGGGTCTACTTGAAGTTAAAGGCCCATGGGGCTTAGTAAGTAAGGTTAGAAGTGGGTATAGTTAGGATAACCCCACTTAGCGGACCTACAACCCCAATTGTAACGTACTTACTAAGCCCATGATCCTTTAAGTAGAGCCGCAAGACGCGCCTTCAAGGTGAGGTAGGATGCAAGGCAGGGGGTGGAGAAGTATTCCTGAGCGGTCTGTCATGCAAATATTCTACAGTACATATACCACACACATACTGCAAAGGATCTCCCAAAACCCTCTTAACATGTTTAAGGCCTTCAGATTTAGATGTAGCTCATCTTACTCTGGATGATCTTCGCAGCTTTCGGTTCAGTGCCACGCCCTCTGCGAAACCCGAAGCCTGATCCTCACATCCCCCATACCCTTGAGCCACGGTTTAGGGTGTAGGGTTAGGGTGGTTTATGTGTGCTGCGTCTGTTTTGTGCTGGCCATGCGGCAGTTTTGTTGACTTGCTCTTCGCCCCCAACCCTAAACCTAGAACTCCAAACCCTAAGCCCTAAATCCTACACCTTAACCTGCTAGGACCCCTAGATTTGTTCCCGAAGCTTCAAACCCTCCCCAGTGACTCGAATATCCCTTAATTAAGGATTATACCTTAAATCATAGTAGGGATCCCTATTATGATTTAAGGTATATTCCTTAGTTAAGGGATATTAGGATCCCCCTAACCCCAAACCCTATAGATCCCTTAAAGGATCCCTTAAAGGAACCCTTTAATTAAGGGATATTGGAGTCTCTGGGTTCTTTCTTAAAGCAGCCAGGAGCCTTCGACCAGTAAGGTACTTAGAGGATCATGGGACTTAGTAAGGTTCCTTAAAGGGCTCCTTTAAGGGATCTATAAGGGTTTAGGGTTTAGGGATCTAGAAGGGTTCCATAAGGGGGAGTTTAGGTTATTTAGAGGATCATGGGACTTAGTAAGTAGGTTATAAATGAGGTTATAAGTCCCCTAAGTGGGGTTATCCTAAGTATAACCTACTTATAACCTTACTTACTAAGTCCCATGAGCTTTCAGGTAGGGAGAAGGTATTTCAGGGTTTGCGGCTCAGGGTCTAGAGGGTTTAGGGTTTAGGGTCTAGAGGGTTTAGGGTTTAGGGTTTCAGAGTTTAGTTTAGGGTTTCAGGTTTAGGGTTAAGGGTTTTGGTGTTGCACTCAGCGTACCCGCATTCCTCAAAAGCCTTCGATCGACACACGCACCCATCAGCTGAAGCCCGGCCCTAAATCCTAGCCCCAAGCCCTGCACCCTAAAACCCTGCCCAAATTCCGTAAACCCCGAAACCCTGAGCCCGACGTCACAGAACTTCGCAGGCTGTCGGCTCAATGACACCAGAACATCCCCAACCCCCCCCCTAACCACCACCGGCCAACAGCAGCAGAGAAACGACACCGGGGGATTGTAGGCTGCAGGATATCCTACCCTACACCCTAAACCTTTCAGGGCTAGGATCCCAAACCCTAAACCCTAAACTCTACAACCTAGGCCATTGCATCTTAACAGAAAAAAACTCTACAACCTAAGCCGTAAGCCCCGATGGATGAGCAGAGCTACCGCGACCACTGCCTCATCGTTGTGGGCGCTGGCACTGCCGCGGAAGAGATTCTCTGCAAGCGGCGGATCGCTGCTGGAGGAACGGTTTAGGGTTTAGGGTTCAGGGGTTACGGATCCCTAGGGTTCCTTTAAAGGGATCTATAAGGGTTCCTTTAAAGGGATCTATAAGGGTATCATAGGAGGCCAAAAGGGGTTCTAGCCTATGGGGGTTTAGTAGGGATTAGGGTTCCCATAATAGGGTTCATATTCAGGAATCCCTACCCTAAGAATCTTAAACCCCCCTTCTGGCCTCCCATCAGATACTCCAATTAAGGAAGACGGCCTTAAGTTAGAGGTCCGTTAGGGGCTCCTTCAAGGGCTTTATGAGGGTTCTGGAGGGTTGAGTATCCCTTAATTAAGGAATATAGCTCAATATACCTTTAAATCATAATATGAAGCCCTTCATAATTTGGGGTATATTCCTTGATAAGGAGCATTGGGTTCTCTGGGGAACTCGATACCTGTATGATGTCATCACTTGCAATGGGTTCTGCTTTAGTGATTCTGGGGTGCATGTTTAAGAATATCTTTGTTCGAGAGGGGTATAAGGCTGTCATGCCGTCGAACAAGAGTTTTTAAGGAACATCGGCTTACCTGGCTTACCTAAACCCTAAAACCGAACATATTCAAGAACAAGCCCCCATAGAACCTCTGAGCGGAAGGTTTCAAGTTGCCGGATTTTGGTTTTAGCGTTTATGGTTTAGAGTTTAGGGCTGGGGGTCCAAGATTCAACAAAATGGGACCCAGGTGTGTCGGGTCTAGCCCTATACCCTATACCCTAAACCCTAAACCCTAAATCCTAGGCGCCGAAACTTGCCAGCAGCGCTACGTAAAACCCGCAAGCCCGAGCACCCTGAACTGAACCTAAACGGTTTAGGGGTTCAGGGTTCAGGGCCCCGAAATCCCAAAACTAGAACCCCACATCCTAAACCCTAAACGCGAAAAACCACAAGCTAGGGTTTAGGGTTTAGGGTTTAGGGTTTAGGGTACCCTAAACCCTAAACCCTAAACCCCTAAACCCCTAAACGCCGAAGCCAGGACGGCTTGCTCATCTGCTGACCCAGGGGGTGGAGGATCATCGCATCAGCGTGCGCAACTTTGAGGTCTCCTGGGGAGGGTTCAGGGTTTAGGGTTTAGGGTTTCGGGGATGGGGATTCGGGGAGATGGGCTCTTTTTTTGGGCCTTCATCATTTAAACTAGGGTTTTTAAGGCGTTTTGAAGTATAATCAGGAACTCTGAGGAACAATATCACCACCTTTTCAGGCTTCCAATAACTTCCGATATTGTACCTTCGGGCTCCTGAGAAAAATATAGATGTATAATCAGGACTCTCCGAAACAATCTTGAAACTACTGAATCTCCTGTTTCGGGGTTTCGAGTTGAAGGTTCAGGAGATTTCAGGCTATAGGGTTTAGGGTTTAGTGTTGGCGTTGAAGGGGTTCTAAAAGCTTCTGTGCTTCTCAAGCTTGATCACCTCAGAAAGCCCGCGGAGAAAATATGGGGCTAGTTGCTCATGCAATCTGAGGGGGTGTAGTGTGCAAGTTTATGACCGTCATTGTTGCGTCGTGGATAGCTTCTTAAAAAGCAGCTTAGTGTACCTTGGGCAGCGGGAAGGTCAGTAAAAAACCACGGTTTCGAAGAAGTCTGTCTATTGCAGTATACTCATAATCCTTATCATTTACGGGCTTAAACCTGACGTTGAGGTTGTTCCGAGCTCCGGGCTGACGACGTGGCAAGTTCAGTGTCTGTGGGAGTTACAATCAAAGAGCAGTTGAGTCGGGCCCGGCTGATTTCGAGCACATAATGCGTCATACACGCTGCACGCCATTCTGTGTTGTAAAACATGACGATGACAGACCATGCTCCTGCACAAATGCATCTACATTCCATATATACACGCTTTCAGGCAAAGAAGCATACGTGCATGCATGAAGAGGCATGACATGACATGGCATGGCATGCATGGCCTCAAGTGCCATGCCCCAATTATAACCCACTTGCAAGGTCCCTTGAGCCTTGAAGTGGTCCCTTAACTCGAAGCTTTGCACCACGAACCTGGATCAGATCGATCCCTCAACGAAGAAGCCTAAACCCCAACCGCTACCCTTGTCGTAGGGATTCGTAGAGAGCTATGCTTTAGGGCAGGGTTTAGGCTGCATGGTGCAGCCACTGCGCAAAGAAGCGGTGTGCAGTGCCTGGAGACCGTCTTCCGAGGCCTCGTTCTGCAACGGAATGCCCCTTAGACTTTAAAAAAAAAAACCAAAAGCCCATCGTGGCATAAAGTGCAACAACCTTTTGGTGAACAGGGAGCTTGCAGTCCGCATCGCAGACTTTGGCTCGGCCAGCTATTTTGGTCCGCGGCAGCGTTTTTTCAATGCTGCGGGAACTTTGACGGACTTGGCACCAGCAGCGCCACCTGTGCATCCCGGAGCTCAAACACCTGTTGACAACGGGCAAGGCGTCGCACCAGGAAGCCCAGTGCGCTGCGTAGCGGTCGGCCGAGGCGGAGCGGAGACCGAGCCCTCCGAACCGCAGAGCAAGTTGGGCAGATTCGGGGTCGGAGGGTTTCTTTAGGCGCTCCTTTAAGGGTTTCTTTAAGGGTTCCCTTAGGGGTTTCTTTAAAGGTCGCTGTAGGGGTTCTTTTCAGGATTTCGGTTTTTGGTTTTAGGGTTTAGGGTTTGGGGTTCTGGGTTGTTGGGGTGCGGGGTTAAGGGTTTATGGTGTTGGGGTTTAGGGTTTTGTGCTTCATGAGGGCTTTTGGAGGGCCGTACGCCCTGCGACCTTATAGAATTCTGGGAAGCCACTTTTATGAACTCCGTCCGACAGGCCTAAGCCCTGACACCCTAAACCCTAATTAAACCCTAAAGCACCCTGAAACCCTAAACGTTAAAAGTTGGGTACGGCCCCCACTCAGCAATAGTCGAATAATCTTCACAAAAAAAAGATATGTTAGGATCTTAATAGTAGCCCTACTTAGAGGATCATGGGACTTAGTAAGTAGGTTATAACTGGGGTTACAAGTCCCCTAAGTGGGGTTATTCTAATTATAACCTACTTATAACCCTACTAAC